ATCCGCCAGGGACTGTTGAGGATTTATAAAAACTACAGTTTGCGGGAAATTCCGAAGACAGGTTTTATGGATTTTGGTTTACTTTACGAAAACGATACAGGAGAATATGTAGTGTTGGATGACGTTCGCATTGCAGACATTTGCCTCGCTTCGCTTGTTTACTTGTTTGTTTACGTTAGCACGAATTGCGTGCCTATTGCACATTTGCGTCAAAACAAGCGGTTTCCATTACTCTATTTGGGCGACGCCCAAATAACAAACTTTAAAGCCGCATAAAGTTTTAATGCGTAACGCTACAACCCATCCCCGTCACACATCCTCTTTTCCAGTTGTTTAAGATATCGATATTGATCAAACAAAACCATCAGCGAGTTCCCACCTCGGGGGGAGAAAAATCCCGAGCTGTTTACTTACTGATGAGCACGGAAAGCGAGAATTTGTCTAGCCTGCGTAGCAGGCGTCAAAAGGGGTAAGGATTGGAAGGAAGGGGGGAAAGGGAGGGGTGGGTAATTTGATACCATGGGATTAGTAGAGGATTGAAACAAACTGCCTCAATCTCATGTAATGCGGAAATCATAATACCTTGATAAAATTATAGTATATATAGAAAATTGGGAGAAGTTTGAGTTGAAACTATCGTTCGTAAAATTACGACTGAAATTTGTCATTAGTCCGGTTGTCAAGCAAGTTCCAGGGGTAGGGCGTATGACAGCACATCTGCTACGTCAATTGAAATTCCATTTTACTTCAAATCACACACAAAATGACTTAGCCTCGTTAGAAGGTCACTCATCCGGAACGAATCATACCTGGCAGTGTTCGGAGAAAAACAGGAATTCTCAGACCAACTTCCTTAGTGGAAGATTCCATCAGTCTACAGCATCTGTTATAAGATCTTTTTGTGAGGTTTTTGTTATTTTGTTCAGGGAAATATTAATAACTGTATATTAGATTTAATGTGAACCCTCATATGCTTCATTAGTTTTCAAATTTTCCTGTATGGCTGCATTTTGGGAGCTATTTCTGGTAGCACTTACGTCACTTTTGTTGACGCAGGTCAGTTGATCGGTGAAACGGAAAGCTTAGTTATAAAGGAAGGGAAAATCCCATAGGTTCAACTTTTTCTTGGTAGAGGGATTGATTGTTGCTTTACGTAAGTTTTGTACAAGTCCCGTTAATTTGTGAAGGAAAATGCAATTGAGTTTTATACTTAAACTTGTCTTACAAGATATGATTTGCTCGTAGATCCTTTGGTCGTCACAAATCAAGCGAAGTATCAAGACTATTTGGGAATTTATAACTGAGGTACACATTGCATAGGCTGAAGTTATACTAGAACTTGAAGGTTCCCTTACCTTAGAAATGCATTATATATTATTTGGTTGTATACCTGCCACCTCTCACGCATTATATGCATGAGTCTCACGCCTGCGGACTAAAGACATGAATCTCGCGCGTCAAGGATAATTCAGCTGACAATTTCTCACGCATGACTAGCAAATTACTCGTCCATACATGGTTATCATCCCACTCTGTATACAGTTAAATCTCCATTAAGTGGCCACCTATTACGCAGCTGTGAATTGAGCGGCCACCTCTATTAAAGGGAGCTTATGCAAAGGCGTTTTTAAGCAACGCACGTCAACCGGAAGTGGATTTTTCACATTCTTGAGCGGTGGTTTCGCCCAAATTTCCAGTCAAATCGTCTCTTATGAGAGTAAAGAAGCTAAGCAGTACAAATTTTATATCTTCAAGGCATGTTAAGAGGGTAAAGGTCTCACTTCTGGTTGACGCCGTGCTCAAAAACGCCTTTGCTTAAGCTCCCTAAGCCTGTACGCAAACGTTGTGTTATCTTTCTTTTCGTTCTTTTCGAAAACATCGGCAAGCGCGTAGCGCGAAAAAGGAAATTAAAGAACGTCCATCTATTTTCCTCTTCCCCTACCCCTACCCCCTTGAGCTAGCGGTCAATAAATCCCCCGCGTTTCATATTTTTCATACCTGTGCATAGACCCCCCCACCTCCCCTCAGTAAAAAATGGAGATCGGGCCCCTTCTCCGACTTTTACTGAGGGGAGGGGTGGGGTCTCTACAGGCTAGATTTTTATCTTTGAAGAGAAAATAGAGGGTCTGTAAACAGGCTAAAAATAGTTGTAGAAAAGAATGGGAAATTAAACCACTATTGAGCGGCCACCTTTATTAAGCGATCGCGGCCATCTTTTTGCCTTTCCAACAAGAGATTTTCGACTGTTGTCAACTCTATTAAGCGGCCATCAAGCACTTGACGCACTAAGTTAAGACAGTCCGAGATAGAAGGTGACGACCGATTGTGGACCAGTAATGCTGCCCCCGTTGCGTGTTCGTTTTAAAATAAAGTGATGTTACTCGACCAAAGATCATGATAATTTATGACATTGCGGCCACTTGCTACTCGTACTTGCTGGCCGAGGAAAGGAGAGCCATCATCTTATGAATTTTCATTGTAGCTATTTGTACTTCGCCCAGACCAAGGTAAATACCATTGGCTAAAAAATGACGTTCCGGAAATCAAAGTTGATTCATAACAGGCCTGGCTGGCCTCCCCTAAATTTTCGCGAGAAGTGTGGAAACACGATGCTTTTATTGCCAAAACCCGTATTATGTCGGCGATCGCTGAACTCACTCTGACAAAGAAGACCGGCAGCGGAAGAAAATCGCTTTCTCCTTCTGTGAGAGATAACTGTCGTCTGTGTGTTAAATTTGGTTCTCAGGGGGATCTGATTGGAATCGAGAACTTGCAGTTTCAGCCCTCAAAGCAGACGGGCTCTTTTGATGTAATTCTCGCAAAGCTGTACGTGTGAAAGTGTTGGATTGCCAACAGACAGGAATCCATTATGGGCTCCTGCAATAGAATATTACGAGCCGAGGATCAGTCAGACCGAGTTTGTAGTTCTATTGGAAGGAAAATCAGAACCCATCATCAGTTGTATTGGTTTGTGTCAAGCGCCTTGTTTAGTTCTGAAAACGAGAGGAGTGAAAGTGAAGAGAGATTCAAGCGCCCGGTTCAAGCGCTGCCTTCCAACCCCGGTGGGGGGTCAGGGAGGGGGTGGTACTGCCATAGTTATATGGGCCATATTGGTATGTGCCGCTGTGAAGGGTATGGTTTTCAAGCAGTTTACTCTGGGATAGGGTATATGAATACCGTAAATCCTCTATTAAGCCCCCCTACCCTCCCCTCCCCTCTCCTAATTATTCTTTACTAATTAACAATTATTCCTCGAGCTCGAATGTGCTCTGAGTCAATTTCGGCCTCATGGGCTTTTGACTCGGAGGCCATGAGAGAGAGAGGAATAATTATTATTGTTTTTGTAAAATCCAGCTAGTTGGTCAAAAATATCGAGAGAAAACAACTTTAGCTAGCAAAACGCGATTCAGCCGCCATTGTTTTTTGTTTTCAAAGCCGGCGCTTTTCGATACGAGTGGGCTATAACATACAGCCTAGTAGTAGCTCAAGCAATCAGAACGCAGCATTGATAATAAACCACTAGTTGATATTACTAATAAATGATAGACTGTATTAACCAATCACGACTGTAAAACTTCGTGTGGACTGATCCGGGATGGTTTATTTACCAACTGGTAGTTCGGATTTGATTCTGATCCTCGGTTGCATGACCTAAAACTTTTTGTACTTGAGCTTTTCCACTTTGTATTCTATTTCTTCATGGAGAACTGATACCATCGTCGTTTCTAAGTTAAATAAGCCCCCCCCCCGTCTCTATTAAGCTCCCCCCCTCAAATGGGCGTGAATTAAATAATCCCCCGGGGGGCTTAATAGGGGATTTACGGTAAGAGAGTTTGGGTCTAATTGTTGGTTTTCACATGACGTCACTAAAATTCAAACTACAATACTATCTATCCTACTGAGATTTTACTTTCATGGTGTATTAGAGCAGCTGAAAACTAGTTTTCAAACAAATTTTCGCTTCAAAAGGGTTCTTGGTTTTGTAATAGAGTACGCTTGAATTTCTAAGCTTTTGCGTGACGCGGCATTTACATAACGGCCGAGAGAGCTGTCATTTAGGTTAAAAAAGTGACTTTTTTCAAGGAATTTTGTTATCTAAACACTTCAAGTGTTAGAAAAAGTATCACTTTAATGTTTATGAGTTCCTCTAGGAGTAAATTCACGCTTTTGTAGCAAAACTCGGTAACAGATGTTTCTGTTAGTTTCCGTCCGCCATGTTGGAGCTCACCCGGATGAGCTCCAGCATGGCGTCTCCATACAAAGCTCTATAAATTTGGGTTAAACATTTCCTCGGATATCTCGTATACGAATTATTTCTTCGACCCAAATCTTGGCGAGGGTCTTCGTATATTTACCTCCTTTCATTTCCCAGATTCTAGACTTTATCTGTCGAATCGTTTTGATTTTTATTTTGATCTATTTTAAATGGCGTGACACTGAAAACCAGCAATAGGGTATTATTTTCCAGGAAACTGATCAGTTGGTTGAAGATTTTCGGGCACTTTCCATTCAATTCCCAAAATTCCGGAAATTTCGGTTGGTACATGAAATGAAACGGACCATTTCGGTTTGGTCCGACCGGAATATTCGGGACCAGCTTTGAAGGTGGTCCACTTTGACCGGTCTGGTCGTTTCGGTTGGTCGAACTTCCCATTTGCCTAAATTGTTGCCCCCTTAGACTTTCCGCTCTTTTGTTTCCTGCTTCCAAGAACAACTAGTAGTTTCCAGTGGAAAGTGAAGAGCTGCGAGTGAGTATGACATTTCAAATGGTTTGAATCAGTTGCAGTTTCTTTCGATTTTTTATATTTGCTATTAACAGAGTCAAATAACTGTGCATGTAACTCAACACGACACGTGGATGATGAAAAGTGTGTGTATCAAGCTACAATTGTATTACAATATAATTCACCACTTTATTTTTGTTTTCTTTCTTTATTTTTTCTATCACTCTTCCTGCCGTAAGGATCAGTTTACTGTTTTAAGTTTAAAATTTGGTTCAATTGTATTAGACTACGAACAGTCTCTCTTTTTTCTTAGTCCGTCGAGCAAAACGCGCGAGACACTCAAATGACCAAGCTCGTGACTGAAGGTGCGAGACTGGAGATCTCGGGCTGCTGCCCTCGTTTTTCCCGTTTCGCGGCTTCGCCGCTCACGCGCGCGCGAGTGCACTCCCCTCCCGAAATCTGAAGAAAAAGAGTGACTGTTCGCGGACTGCAATTGTATGAAAGTCCGTGAGAATAAATCAGCGTATTATTTGTCTGAAACCTGTCCACAGTAAGGTTTAGAGCACGCGAGCTATGGAGTGAGTGGATGAGTGAATTTCCAATCGACTTCAATATTAAACTGGTCCATTACGCTTCGCTAGCGTATCAAATGATTTTCAATCTTTGCTTCTGCCATGTATATTATAACAAGTCAGGGAATTTCAGTATGAGTCGGGTAAAATTTAACTGTTCCATTGGCAGAAGAAGATTGTTTCAAAAAGTTAAAGACATGCACGCAGATAATTACATAGGGTTTCCCATAAAATCAATCCATTCTGCACTTTACATTCACGATAAATTCGTGTTTTACAGGGAAAGTGTACATTGACTGTCAGTCTGGGAATTTCAAAATCTATGGCTCTGTCATGCACTGTCTCAACAAGCTCATGCATGTTTAGAATGGAGACCAATGGAGAAACGGATCACCTTGTTTGTGAACATTTCATACAAATTCACTCTTGCATGAGTATTTTGTTTCTTTAAACACTTGCATAAGTGCTAAAACATTTGCACTTTTTACATGGATTCAGTGCTTGATAGTGAAGGCCCGCATATTCAATAATCATAAGTCATGATCACTTTAGTAATTCTCATGAACTGCATAGTGACATTGCTACATGTAATCTGATTTTCTATTTCACCGATTATGTTTTCACCTTACTGTTACTACCCTGCGAGCAGAGATTTCTCTCTTGCATGGCTTTTAGCGTTTACGAAGTCATTTGCGTGGCTTGTCAGTCGCGTGGTTAGTTTGTTTACGCCCCGTGAGAAACCTGTGTAGCAAGAAGCTTGGGATTTCCGTTGAGCATGCGCCAGATTAATAATTCGTTGCTATAGAGATAATGACGTAAATTTTATCACCTAACAGAAATTAGTGCCGTCAAAAACTAATTTTACTCGTCCCATTTCCTAGCCTGCGAACAGCAGACGTATTTCCAGGAGAGAAGCGACGACCGGAAATACGCTCTTCGTAGGCCACACATTTCCGGACAAGTGGTCTTATTTCGTCTACTTCCGGACAAAGAAACGTGAATGATTTGGAAAATCGCTTTATCCAAACTATTTATCACTGTTTACGGTTTAGTCAACGACTATATCGCACATCAGAGGCACCTCTGAAACTATCGCATGTATACTACAAGCTTCCAATAGACGTGTTGCACACTAATGTCAAGGATAAAGACAAACCGGAGAACAGACAAGAAGCAGTGTTAAAGATCAAATGCTGCGACTGCCAGGCTACTCACATTGGTGAAACCGGCAGAAACCTTAGCACGCAGCCTTAGCAACTGACCGAACGCAAACGAGCGACGAGAAATGGTGACGTCAACAATTACATTGCTGATCACCATTTACAGACGAAACATCAAATCGACTCGGACTCTGAGACATGTATTACGTATTCTCAGACTACTATCAACGACCCACTTTAGAAATCTGGTTTACTAACTGAGAGCAACCGTCATTGAATCGTAGTCAACAGTTGCCGGTACCGTACAAACGACTTTATCGACGGACTCAAGCAAAACTAATTACGAGAGAGTGACCGGACAACCGACAATTTGACTGACATATCCGACTTTTTCACTGTGCATAGTGCACACAGCGAACTAGGGATCAGAGAATTCGTCAAGTGGTCGAGTTTGGTCGCTTACTAGAGCTTAGAAACAATGGATAATCATTAAACTTTCAGGCCCAAAAAGTGGTCGCGGTGGCTTACGGGAGATGGTCACTTACTAGGGGTTCTAACTGTAAGGCTGTAACAGGGAAAGTTTTGGTGCATGAGTTTTGGATAGGCGGTCTCTTATGGGAAGTGTTCGCTTACGAGAGGTGGTCCCACATGGAGGTTCGACTGTACCATCAACTGACTTAATACAACTCACTTTGACTCTGCAGATGATTACCGCGTGTCAGTCAATGTCAGTGCAACAGTCCTATTTAGTACTACGTCAGCCCTCGGACGATCATGCTCATCCTACTTCATAGATCTACTTATAAGAAAATAGGAGAGGAAAAGAAAAACTCCTCAGGTTTTTACAGCGAGTTAGACTTAATCTGGAAACAGCTGTGGAACTATTATAGTTTTTTGAAAACCCACAAGCTTAAAATACCAGTAACTTTCTCAGTGTTTTGGGGGTAAAGAAATAGATTTTCTTTTCAAATGCTAAACACTTGTGTTCCGCTGCCCAGAGATGTTAACCCTTAGAAATAAGTTCACTTTCCCAAATTTGAGTTTTCTGAACTGATGTTTCCGCTGGTCCGGTTTGTAGTTTGTTGACAACAGATTTATTTTTTCAGTGGAAGGTAGATGAATGTACAATGAGTAGAGTAGACAGACAATTTTTATTATATAAACGCCAATGAAATACCAAGTGAGCTTTCGCGCGAAAACTTGTTATCTTCACATGTGAAAATGTCACCGTTGTTATGGCTTCATAATAAACCGCACCTTTAAGACGAACAAACTATTTAAGTAAAATGGTTTGGTATTTCATTGGTGTTTATATAATAAATAGAACATCACATGGTCGCTTGGAGATACGAAATTTCTGCTCTCGTGTTGAAAAAAATATTTCACTGGTGAGCGCAGCGAACGAGTGAAATATTTTTCAACACTCGAAGAAAAGTTTCGCATCTCCGCGCGGCCATATAAATACAGGATATTACACGGTGGCGCGAAGATATGAATTTTATTTTCGAGTGGCAAAACAATATTTTACGAACGAGCGCAGCGAGTGAGTAAAATATTCTTTTTGCCACTCGAAAATAAAATTCATATCTTCAAGCCGCCGTGTAATGTTCTTTTTATTATATAGACTAAATGACATCGATAAAGTAGTAGAGGGAAATTACCAAGATTACGTCATCGATAACCTCACGTGTGAGTTTATGGAAAATAAACCACTCGGGTCCCGGATGTAGTTTTTATGAATTTTACGAGTGGTATATTTTCCAGTACAACACTCGTGTCTATATAATAATATCCTCTATATATACACCATGTTTAAACAATGGTAAATTTCGATCATTATCACGAAACGAATATTAACATTTTCCTTTTTAGAGAACATCCCAATCAGATTATACAACGATGAAAAACACGTGCAAGGATCCCTTTTTGAGGCAAATCAAATGCGACTATGATGGGCAAAAACGAATAGTAAAAGAGCTGATAAATAAGCTTTTACTCCAGCTTTAAATTTTACTTTTCAGACCCTCTTCGTTATCGCACATAAAGAGGAATGGTATCGGCAGAAAAAAGAAACCACAGTATGAGGTTGAGCTGAAATAGCAAAGCCAGCAAAAAAAATATGACAACCACAGGTATTAATGGTAATATTGGCGACCCCTTTGTCAACTTTAAAGATTTCCAGCACGTCCTAGGCATCGCCTATTACAGTCTGGGAGATTTCCGGAAAGCCATAGAGCACCATGAACGACACCTCGAAATTTCGAAAGAAGTGGGAGACAGGGCAGGAGAAGGAAGAGCGTACGGTAATCTTGGCAGCGCCTATTACAGTCTTGGAGATTTCCAGAAAGCCATAGAGTACCATGAACGACGCCTCAAAATTTCCAAAGAAGTGGGAGACAGGGCAGGAGAAGGAAGAGCTTACTGTAATCTTGGCAACGCCTATGACAGTCTTGGAGATTTCCAGAAAGCCATAGAGTATCATGAACGAGACCTCGAAATTTCGAAAGAAATGGGAGACAGGGCAGGAGAAGGAAGAGCTTACTGTAATCTTGGCAACGCCTATGACAGTCTTGGAGGTTTCCAGAAAGCCATAGAGTACCATGAACGAGACCTCAAAATTTCGAAAGAAGTGGGAGACAGGGCAGGAGAAGGAAGAGCTTATTGTAATCTTGGCAACGCCTATGACAGTCTTGGAGGTTTCCAGAAAGCCATAGAGTACCATGAACGAGACCTCGAAATTTCGAAAGAAATGGGAGACAGGGCAGGAGAAGGAAGAGCTTACTGTAATCTTGGCAACGCCTATGACAGTCTTGGAGATTTCCAGAAAGCTATAGAGTACCATGAACGACACCTCAAAATTTGGAAAGAAGTGGGAGACAGGGCAGGAGAAGGAAGAGCTTACTGTAATCTTGGCAACGCTTATCACAGTCTTGGAGATTTCCAGAAAGCCATAGAGTACCATGAACGACACCTCAAAATTTCGAAAGAAGTGGGATACAGGGCAGGAGAAGGAAGAGCGTACGGTAATCTTGGCAACGCCTATCACAGTCTTGGAGATTTCCAGAAAGCCATAGAATACCATGAACGACATCTCAAAATTTCGAAAGAAGTGGGATACAGGGTAGGAGAAGGAAAAGCGTACAGTAATCTTGGCAGCGCCTGTCGCAGTCTTGGAGATTTCCAGAAAGCCATAGAATACCATGAACGACATCTCAAAATTTCGAAAGAAGTGGGATACAGGGCAGGAGAAGGAAAAGCGTACGGTAATCTTGGCACCGCCTATTTTTGTCTTGGAGATTTCCAGAAACCCATAGAGTACCATGAACGACACCTCAAAATTTCGAAAGAAGTGGGAGACAGGGTAGGGGAAGGAGGCACGTACGGTAATCTTGGCAACACCTATCACAGTCGTGGAGATTTCCAGAAAGCCATAGAGTACCATGAACGATACCTCAAAATTTCGAAAGAAGTGGGACACAGGGCAGGAGAAGGAAGAGCGTACGGTAATCTTGGCAACGACTATCACAGTCTTGGAGATTTCCAGAAAGCCATAGAGTACCATGAACGACACCTCAAAATTTCGAAAGAAGTGGGAGACAGGGCAGGAGAAGGAAAAGCGTACGGTAATCTTGGCAACGCCTATTACAGTCTTGGAGATTTCCAGAAAGCCATAGAGTACCATGAACGAGACCTCAAAATTTCGAAAGAAGTGGGAGACAGGGCAGGAGAAGGAAAAGCGTACTGTAATCTTGGCAACGCCTATCACAGTCTTGGAGATTTCCAGAAAGCCGTTCAGTCTTATGAGAACAGTGTTATAGCCTTCGACCACATTAGGAGAAATCTCATATCTAACGACGAATGGAAGATTACCCTTAAAAGTACGTATGATCATATTAATTTGAGGCTGTGGGAGCTGCAGTTTAAGGAAGGTAAAGTCATCGAGGCACTTTTAACTGCTGATCAAGGACGTGCACGAGCCTTAAATGATCTTCTGGAGTTCAAGTATGGCCTTAAAGGGTTACGCCAAGAAATAGGAACACTTTCTGCAAGACCAAGTGACTTTGCTGGTTACTTACCACCAAATACAGCTTTCATGGGTATCAGCGAGGGAGGAATAGTTCTCTGGGTGAACGAGAAAGGAAATGAAATCAAAACTAGAAGAACTGTGATTGACATGTCCGTCACAACCTATTTGCAGTCTCTACTGGAGGCTACACATAAAGAAATAGGTGTAAGAGCTGATGTTAATTGTGAAGATCGCTCATTAAGTAACCCAAGTGATAAGAAGTTAGCAGAAAAAAGATCAAGTAAGCCTAAGTCTCATCCTTCATATTTTGAGATAAAGTCATTGCAAACATTTTACAATGTTGTCATAGACCCTATAAGAGACTTAATCCAGGGCGATGAGGTTGTGATTGTTCCAGAAGGAACTTTGTGTTTGGCGCCTTATGCTGCTTTCATGGACTTGAAATCAAAGTACCTCTGCGAAACGTTTAGAATTCGTCTGCTCCCCTCGCTTTCTAGCCTGCAATTGATTCAAAATTGTTCAGCAGATTGGCACAGCAAGACTGGCGCTCTTCTCGTCGGCGATCCGTGGGTACAGGAGGTAACGACGCTAGAGCAGTTAGAGTGGGCCAAAAAAGAAGTGCAGATGATTGGGGAAATTCTTCACACTGTACCTCTCGTTGAAAAGCAGGCAACAAAAGATGAAGTCTTGAGACGTATTTCCTCGGTTGCTTTGGTGCACATTGCTGCTCACGGTGAAATGGAAACAGGAGAAATTGCTTTAGCCCCAAACACAACGCCTCCATCCGTGGATCCAGCCAGGGAGGACTATATCTTAACTATGAAAGATGTTTTAAAGGCGCAGATTAGGGCAAGACTTGTTGTACTTAGTTGTTGTCATAGTGCTCGGGGACAAGTCAAATCCGAGGGTGTGGTCGGCATCGCACGGGCATTTTTGGGTGCCGGTGCTCGGTCTGTTCTGGTTTCCCTGTGGGCGATCGACGACGAAGCTACTATGGAGTTCATGAAAGTTTTCTACCAGCAACTAGTTCATGGACGAAGTGCCAGTGAGGCCCTGAATAAAGCCATGAATTCCATGAGAGAATCTGACCGCTTTAGCGCAGTGAAGTACTGGGCGCCGTTTGTTCTCATTGGTGATGACGTAACGCTCGAGTTTGAAGGCATCGATTAAATAGCAAGGTATTTTGGGATATATCTAAACCTGGGATCATAATCCCTGCATTTGCAATCGTCATTTTAGCTAGCAATTATTTTTTTCGCTTTATCGGAAAACGAACTTAACCGGCGCCACGTGTAGCGTCAATCTGTCACGTTGACAGTGTGAAAGGAGATTTTGTTTGGCAGTTAAACACTACAAATGAAATTTATTTCAAGTCTCATGCTTTCTTTACATTTCAAAGTGTTCCTGGCTCTGTTTGAGTTCGTTCCATTGTAACTTCCAGTATGCGACACCTAAAATTCCAAAATGAAATTTCCGGTCGCTTAGGAAAGTGTCCGGTGGTACTTACCTACATAAGAAAACCGGAAATTCCAGTTAGAAAACCAAGTGGTTCGAGCCATTCCGTTTGGAGAGTCCCCAGGTATGTTGCTTTTTGAGTGGAAACATTGTTTTGGCACTTTTGAAGGGTAGGTGATATATGTTCAGGAGCAATCTTGTTAGCAAAAATTTGCTAGCAAATTGTTTTCGCAATTTTAGCAAAAAAAGAATGATTCTGTAATCACAAGAAAATTTGGTGAGACACCCACTAACAAATATCACAAGACAGGAGCCCATGGGCTCCTGCACAAGAGCAGCATGAATGGCCAATTTAAGAAAATTCTAGGCTTAGAGAGAGAAAAGGCCTAGAATTGCCCCGAGAAGTCCGCAAATTTCGCAGAAATCGCAAAAGTAACAAGAATTTTTCTTGCTATGTAAAGAAACTGAGGAACAAATATGGCAAAATAGCAGGAGTAACAAATTTAACAAAATTCTAGACTTAGAATCCTGAGAACTAAAGGGCCCCGAGAAGTCCACAAATTTCGATTGTTGGTCTTGCTATTCTTGCGATATTTGTTACTCAGTCTCTGAAAAGGTGGTTCGTTGCTCGAAATGAAACCACTGCCTGAAACCACTATCCTTCTGCTAGCTACCTAACGGTGCTTTTGCTGTTTTTATTGTTTTTCTTGTAAAGGTACGATGAAGAATGCAGTAAACAGGTTCCTATCTATCTGAAGTTGAAGTCAGTTTAATTTTTGACACAATCATTACTAGCCATTACGGGGTTGAGCGTTCCTCTCAAGGATCGCAGGTCTTTATCTCTTGAAGAGAAAAAAAATGATGCTTTTTGTTCCAATTTATTTGTTCTTGTCACGTTACAGGTTGTTGTTTTTACATAAATGTACAGAAAAAGATGGTGACGGGGAAGCCTGGGGCTTATATAGGGTCCAGGCTCCCCCTAGGTTAGTTTAACTAGACAGTGATATTAGTCTGCTACGAGCGTTGCGTGATGACACTAAAAACGGCTGTGTAGCAGACTACAGTGATACGGGCATCCCCATTCCCAAAACCCTCGTGATATGGGTATCCCCTGTAACCCTAAACCAAATCACTAAGGTAATATGAGAAGGGGATCGGCCAGTATCACTAAGGTCTGGGAATGGCGATGCCCAAAACGCGGGGATGCCCATATCACTGTATTAAACATTAGACTAAAAGAAGAGGAAAGACGCGATTTTACAAAATCAACCACAGATTCCTAAGATACAGGAAAAAGGAGTAGAATCAACATCAGTTACTAACAAAATTACTTACAAAATAGGAAGAGTTATATAATCATTTAGAAAATATATGGAGTGTTAGTTGGATTATAATTGATAAGGATGGTAACATATTAACTAGAAATATCTGAAGGGAAAATTTAAAATTAGCTATAGACCAGTTACTGTTGTTAAATGGTTCCTTACGCCTAGTTTAAACGTCGAACTTCTCATGTACCGGACCTTTATCCCTTCAATTAAGTACATAAAAAAGATCGACGTTAGAATCATTAAATTCGACATATCTTATCTGGGTCCGGACCGATGAGAGGCCCACATGGGAATTTCGACTGCTGAGCGACTTCGCTCTTTCAAACGTCGAACTTCTCATGTGCCGAACCTAATGCATAAATTATTAAGATTTATTTTCAGTTGTGAGCATTTTATACCATTGAACATCATGAAAATGAATTGAGTCCGACTAATTAAGTTCTACATCTGAATCAACCGTCGAATGACTTATCATTTGGGTCGACCGTATTAAGTTTGGTACATGAAAAGATCAACGTTTGAACTTGGAGAGTTCCAAAAGTGTGTGCATTGGCAAGATATTTTAAATTGTTTTAAGGTTGTGCGAGACTTGATACTGAGCAAATTGAGTTTTGTAATCATTAAGAACTTAAGAGAACCAGATGTGAAAAGATTGTCGAAGCTCGAGGGCAATGTAAGGAGAGATTTTCCATGAATTCTTTAATTTATTTGCCTCGAATTTCATATCTTTGACGTTGTTTTCAGTAATTCATACTGGAATTGCATAAAGACGTTTTAGCTCCTCAAAAAGGCTCTTGCCATTTTATTGTCCTTTAATTTGCTTTGTGTCCGCTGAAGTAATAATTGTAGAAAAGCCAACAGTGTTCCTTAACAAACAAAACTAATTGCTCGTTCTCTTTTCAATTATAAACATTTTACTTCAATGATGACTTTTAAAAGGATAATTAGTTTCTGAATAATGGTTATTTAACTTCAGTCTATCTATCGTGATTTTACAACTGGACGACATCTATTCATAGGCCTTTTGTACTGGTACCGTTTGTTTAATTAGCTGTCTATTTGCGAACAAATATTTCATTAAGTTGTTAGACAAAAGAAGCAACAGGTGAATTTTGAATATGAAAGGTTTTGCTGTCTAGCTTGCAATTTTTTTTAAATAGATCGGTTTTTGTTTAAGATGAAAACTTGCAATTAGTCTGCGCTTCTTTCTGTTGAAACAGCCGCTCGCTGAACTTGCATTTTCATTCATATTGTAACATTTTGTACATAAACGCTGTTCTGCTGAGCTGGCTGGTTCTTATTTTCAGTACTTCAGACTTTCTAAAATAGCAACAGTATGAACAAAAGACTTCAGGTTAAAAATAGAGTCTACATTTAGTTTTCAAAGTTTCTTTTGTCTTCAATGGTTGTAGAAATCATATTTAATATAAGTAAGCTAGATTTTACTGTTTTTCGATTATTTTTGCTGTGTCCTTCCTGAGTTAATTATTGCCATTTGATCCGCTGAAGAAGAAACGCTGTTGGAACCAAAGTTTGGTCCTGTTTAATATGCTGCTGTGTTTGCTGTACCAGTTAGTGGTTTGATCATATCCCAGTCCTACAGAGAAATGACGTCTCTTCCCCGCAAGCGTCGGAGTTATCATTAGTTAAATTCGATCGCTTCAGAGCGGAAAAACCTTCCGTCACAGCAATAGATAATAAGTTACATGTGATGACTTTTCCTTCTTCTTTTTCGTCAAGCCAATGCGAATTTAAAGTTGACATAAATACAAATCTGTGGACCCTATAATTGACGATCCTTGCGTTGAACATCTTGAACTTTTCATGATCATAATATAGCCCAAACACTAGCCTGCGTGGCAGGCGCTAAAGGGGTGGAGGGGGTGGAGTGTAAGAAAGAGAAGAAGGGATCCCCTCTCCTTTTTTTCCTCCCTCCTTCTTTTCTTTCTTACTCCCCACGCCCCCCCCTCCTCTTTTAACGCGCCTGCTACGCAGGCTACCCAAATACTGATAATAAGGTCTGTTAATGTTAAGCCGTTCGACATTTCCCTTCCACAGAATGACGTAAAAAAAAAAATGACAGAAAAGTCTCACAACAATCAGCCATTTCTTTGAAGTACGATTAAGTAACCGTTAAGAGAAAATTTTCAGGAAAGTTCTTTTCATTTGTGAGTGGGACTTCGTAAGACATTAAAATGGGTTAAGTCCTATCCTTGATGGCAAAGATCGAGACCGCGGCATACCTTTCGCGAGGGATGGTTTTGGATTCATTTACACACTTCATACAACCCAGCCTAACATCTTAGCCATGAGTTTAATATCATGAGCCATGTTTTTATCAAACAAAAATGGCCGACGCCCTTTATTTTGACGCCCTTGGTTTTTATGCATGCCCACTAGGGCAGTAATGTAGGAGCTGTTCGTAAGGTCTCTCCTAATTGGTCGCGGGAAACAATGACATGTCATTCTTTCTATTGTTTTAGTATTGTTTGATGTCAGGGAAACGCACCATTGGCCCAATAGGGAGCTTAAGCAAAGGCGTTTTTGAATGGCGCATGTCAACCGGAAGTGAGGACTTTTCCATTTTAATGTGCCGTCATGTGACGCTACCACATTTGTGCTGCGACTGTAGTTTCTCTTAATGAACTGAATGCAAAAAGTCCACTTCTGATTGGCGTGCGTCACTCAATAAAAGCCTTTCCTGAGGACAGTGCCTTTGTGAACCAACGTAGATTTCAGGCTGCAGCCAAATTTAAGTAACCAAATCATTTTTTTGTTTGCTTGTTGTCACTGAGACCTTGGTCTTACACGAAGTGACCCAGGACTTTTTCCTCAGGATTCAACGCATCCGCATAAAAAGCTCAGTTTATACGATAACGAAAACGTCCGCGTGCTGGTTTTCGATATTGATTGAGTGTTTGTATAAAAGCTGCCAGACAATGAATTATGCTGTCTTTGAGTTTCTAGACGAAATAAGGCCGGGGAGGTACTCCTTGGAATTCTTGGTGGGGGTATGCGCACCCAGTTTTCCAAATCGTGACCCTATTTTAGACCAAAGAAATGTCATTTTTCACACCGGTTTCATACCTGGCCTCTAAAATCCATACTTGTTTTCAAACCTAGCCTGAGAAATTATCAAGATCAATATATATAAAATTTATATAGAGAGAGAAAACCGTTTACAGTACAACTCATAAAAACGTCATAAATCTGCCCATGAACCACACAGGAGAAATCTAACACACATTTTATGTAAGGTAAGCTATTTTTTATTGAAATCCTTTCATTTTCGTAGGTTACAGAAATGAAGGGTTTTTTCCCTTTACAATCCTTATATTTCGAATGTTACGCAACAATGCCGATGCTCGCCGATACTCGTATTTCGATCTTGGGCTAAGCTACCTGTGATATAAGTGCTACAGTTTGCGAGCACAATGTATCAAAGCCAAGAGAGAATATCTCATTCTCTCTTGTCAAAGCCTACTCCTGATAAGATAAAATTTTAAGAAGACACAAGAATACAGTCGACTCTCTCTTAACGGACACCTCTACTGAGACGGACACCTCTGTAAAACGGACACTTAGAGTTGGTCCCTGCCTTTCTTTACTCCCTTTATTTGACTCTCTAAAAGACGGACACCTCTCTAAGACGGACACTTAGTGCCGGTCCCAAAGGTGTCCGTCTTAGAGAGAGTTGACTGTATTTTTTTTTTTATTTTTTTTTTTATTTTTGCCTTACAGACATATATTAAATGTCTACAGTACTAAACACTACTGAAACTAAATACTACTAACAATATTCACTATACTTGCACTATTTACAATATTGGCTATACTGACAATACCATCCATACGATGCTCGTACTACTAATAATTACAATGGTTACACTACTTACAATTCTAGTACATCACACACACACACACCCCCACATAAACACACACGCAAAAAAAAAAAAAAAAAAAAAAAAAAAAGGGTCAGAGGAGTTACTTTTCATGTCTATTTTATAGCTTTTCAATTCTGTATTTAATTATCATTTTACCAACGAAGTCTTGGAGGAGAATTGGTTTGTTGTGTAGTTTGTTGGCGTAGATGTAGTATCTCATAAACAACATGGTATAATTGAATTTCCTTACTAGTAGCTTTTCATGTAAGTCCGAGAGGATGCCGAACAGTCTTTCTTCGCTAGATGGGTTGAGATTGATCTTGTTTTCTATATTGAACCAGTTGATAACCCGTTGAATGAAAATCTTGACGAAATGACAATCTCTAAAAGTATGATTAATAGAGTCTTTTTCACCACAATATATACATTCATCATCTTCCTTGATTCCATAGCGGTAAAGTTCCTTTTTGGTGACTACAATTCGGTGGATTAATTTATATTGAAATTCCTTTAATTTGGTCTCTCTACAGACGGTTTTTTTTTAGGTGAATATTTTTTCCCATTTATCTTCATCCAAGGAAAGATCTTTGCTCCATCTCTGTGGCCCAGAATGACCTGTTGTGTGGATTTTTGTGCATAATAACGTATAGAAGTCGCTAGTCTTGATTTTGTTCAGATATAGAGTTATCGATTCATTTAATTGTAGACTAAGATTATTATCAGAATATAACTCTTTATTAATTGGCTTCGTTGATTTTGCTTTTGGCTAATAGGTGCTTTGGGATAGCGCTAATAACTTGATAGTATTGAAGGAAGTTAGTTTTACAGGAATACTTATTCGTAAATTCCTGATAGGTCATCGGTTGACCGGTATTGTGTAAGAGATCTTGTATTGACAGGATACCTTTTTAAACCATTCCCTGATAAAAAGGTTTTACTGTCAACAAGTATTTTTTGTTGTTGAATAGAATTATATTTTGTGCTTGATCAAAGCTCTACAGAGTTTTTAATTCACTGAAGTATACTAGAATATTTCGGTAAAACAATGGAATAGATTTTATGTATTTCGCATCGTAGTTACATCTCAGTAAAAAGTTCAAACCTCCGAATTTTCTTAGGTAATAATCAGGAACTGTTTTCCAATTCTGGTTCCCTGAGTCAGTAATCTTGGAATCCAGGCTAGTTTTAGAGCTTTAAACATTATGTCGATGTCTACCATACGTATTCCGCCTCTTCCCAGATCCTGATAGAGCCCAGTTCGTTTAATTTTATCCCTTTTGTTTTTCCATAAGAAACTAAAAACTTTGTTTTCACTGTGCTTGCGATATCTTCGGGAACATTAAGAATTGAAGCTGAATAAATTAATTGTGACAATCCTAGGGACTTAATTATCAGTACCTTCCCAAATAGTGTGAGGTCTCTAGATCTCCACATATCCAGCTTTGTTTGAAGTTTTCGTATTTTCAGATTAAAGTTCAATTCATTGTTACCCTTCTCATCATAAGAGACATGAATTCCTAAGAGGCGAGCCGGACTATGTAACCATTTTAGTTGTAAAGGATAACTTTTGTTTTTTGCCCATTTTCCCAACCAAATTGCTTTCGATTTCTTTATGTTTAACTTGAGACCCGCTAGCCTCCCAAAATCTCCCACCGTTTTCAAAGCATTTTCAACGGAGATCAAATCTGCACAGAAAAGGTTTGTGTCGTCTGCGAATTGGCTCAATTTGATTTCGTGCCCGAATATTTTGATTCCTGTTATACTTGGTTCTTGTCTGATTTTGCTGGATAATATCTCCGTGGAAAGCACAAATAAGTACGGAGAAAGGGGACACCCCTGTCGCACTCCTCTTGACGGTCTAAACCAGTTGGTCATGAAACCATTGTTTATCGCCGCGCTCTCAATTTTTGTATAGAATATACTGATCCATCTTTTTATACTTGTTCCGAAATTGAATATATCCAGTGCTTTCATCATGAACGACCATTCTAGAGAATCAAAAGCTTTCCGAAAATCTAGAGATACTAGACTGCCAGGTATGCTTTCTGACTTCGTATATTCCATTATGTCGATTATTAGCCTAATATTTTCCCCGATATATCTTCCTTTGATAAAACCGGTTTGATCAGTGTGCACTAGATTTGGTAATAATGGTTCTATTCTCCTTGCTATTGCCTTAGTTGCTATCTTGCAATCAACATTTAGCAGTGTTACCGGTCTCCAGTTTGAAAGTTCTAGTAGCGAGCCATCTTCTTTGGGAATTAAAGTAATAACGCCTCTTCGTTGTGAAATGGTGAGTTCATTTGCATCATAGGCCGCATTGAAACTAGCAACAAGATCGTGTCCTAGCAGATCGAAAAAAAAACATATAAAATTCAACCGTGAAACCATCTTCTCCTGGAGCTTTGTTGTTTTGAAAAGTGTCTAAAGCTTTTTTGCATTCTTCATAAGATAATGGACCTTCTATTCTATCTCTGTCTGCATCTGATAGTTTTGGAATTTTTAAATGTTCGGTGAATTCATCAACATTATTTTCCTGTGAATTATTTGCTGATGCGTACAATTCGCTATAATAGTTTTCGATAGCTTCTAATATCTGAGACTCGTTGTTTGTTACTGTTTCACTTTCTGTTCGCAGTTCAGTGATGGTTTTCCTGTTGTAGTTTCTTTTCTCCAGATTGAAAAAGTACTTTGTTGGACGTTCGCCCTTTTCGACCCATCGACATTTCGATCTAAAAATAGCTGCCCTCCCTTTCTCCTCATAAATAGATTGGAGTTCCATTTTGAGATCTTCATATTCATTTAGGATGTGCGCGATATTGGGAGAGTTAAAGTTGTCGCAAATATTGCGGTCCAGAATTTCGAGCTGTCTCCTAATTTCCAATTCTCTATTAGTGGTCGCTTTAGCTTTCTTTTTACTATAAGCAATGGTTGCCGCTCTGGTTTCCATTTTTAACATTTCCCAAAGAAGGCGTGCGTCTGTCAAGTTGGAGTAAAAAGCGCGTGTGCGGGAGTACGTTTCACGGATTTTGGACACATAATGTTCATCTTTCAGTAACGTGTTGTTGAATTTCCAAAGTCCGGGTCCTCTAGACTTTTCAGTTGTCCAAGACAAAGAAATGTAAATTGCTCGGTGATCCGGTGCTACAGAGTTGACTGTATAACAAAATATGCAAAGTCGAAAAAACTAAAGAACTATAAATACTTTTATAATTTTCTCAGTCTTCTCCAGCATGAGGCCCATGTAGCCTGGGTATGAGAAAAAGGAGCATCTTCGGTACTCATACCTTGGCTCCTACCAGCTGAAGGTCACAATGATGCAACTGGTCCTCCATGTGGAAAGTTGGAAGTTCTACGAGCGTTCGTGTTTTGGTACGAATAGTAGTGAAAATGTAACTTCTCAGTTGTTTTTTCGCCTATTTGAAAGCCTATGGGAATTGAATTAAATCATTAATGTTGTTGACTTCGTAAACACTGCCTTTTTTCACTCCGGTGAGGAGAAAATCGCGTTTCTTTTAGCTCCATGTGCAATGGGAGGTCTATGACCAGCATTTGTGGGATGCGTTTTCATGGCTGATAATTTGCTACAAGGGCTTCAGGCAGCCGCAAATGCGACATCACAGGAAGGGGTGAGTTTCTTGCTAACTATTTTTCTTTTGAACGGTTCGGTTGGCGCTCGAACATCACATAGCAATGCAATCGTACATAGATTATACATTGTCATTAACATTATTCTTATTAATTTTTTTTGGCAATAATGATAGGCCCTGCAATATTTTGAACAGCTAAAGAATTCCCCAGACGGCTGGAAGCTATGTGGTGATACCCTAATTCGAAATCTTTACAGGTAATTGAAATTTAATATTAAAGTTAATTGTTTTACGGTGGTATTTAACGTTTTGGACCTCACTGAGCATTATTTCAGAACTTGATTTGTTTGATACAATTTATATTGATTTTATGTTATCATTCATAATTCATACGCAACTATATAGTACATTATCTTTCATTCAATATATTTTCTCTATTTCTGATTGACCAAATTAGGATAGCCTGGAACGAGCTCCGCAGCGGGGGAAAAGGGCAAAAAACAGGGTCAAAAAGGAAAAAGCGGTGGCCTGGAGGGGGGAGGGGAGGGGATGCAGCAGAGCCTAGAGACATGCCTTTGATGCTGCCATTCTGTGATACCATTCTGCTGTCAAATGTCTTCATGTTGACAGATTCGCGGTGCTGTGGAGAGAGAGGACTGGGGCGAGTTTCAAAATAGAATGTATGTGAAAGGGGAAACAAAGTATAAAAAATCGGTTTTTACAGAATTTACATCAAGATATCACATTTAGGACACAATGTGATACAGAAAGCGTTTAAATGAAAATCAAATTGAGTAAGCACAAGTTAAACATCCACTATCGAGGTTCTCCATGAGGAAGTCGAACTCAGAAACACACGTACTGCTTACGTTATGCACATTCCTAACACATTGAGTCTCACCTTGGCAAGAAACAACCGCAAGCAAAAATTCCAATAGCTTTTCTCTTGAGTCAACTTCGTTTTAATAATGTTACTTCACATACTCCTTTTTACGGCGGCCATCTTGTTATCGCAGTAAGAGATGCCCAGTGCAAAACCGGGGAATCACCTTAAGGCAAGTGGGATTTCAATTTGACTTGCTGAATGCTCCCAATCTTCTTGCGGCCCCGACACCTAAAAACAACAGCAAACAGACTGCTTATCTTGCCAGCTACATAGGCTAATGTAACTAGACATGCATGGCTCGAAATTAACAAAATCCTCAGGTTGCCTTGTGGCGAACAACTGGAGAAATATAGTCACCAGATGCAAATTTTTAGTCCCCAGTTTTTATAATGTAGATGACGCAGCTCAGGGCTTGTGATATTTCACGCGTTCGTGAAGCCGTGAAATTCAGGTAAATCCGTGAAATTCACGTAAGCATGCAAAATACCGGAACATTTGGTAGAAATCTTATGAGATACGTGTCTGTACAACATATTTGAAATTTATCTCAGCAAATTTAACTTGAAACCTCGTCACTGAAACATGGAAACAACGTCCCAAAACTACCAGGCAAAGATTATGTTGCGAAAAACTGGGCACTAAGCCATGACGTTAAAGGCTTTGCCATCTGGTTCATTTCTGGAGCGTATTGTGGTTGAAAGAGCAAATGATGACCTCTGGTTTATGGGTACCCCACTTTTCACATTTGACATTTATCAATGGATGCCAAACTGTAATGTTGTAGCTGAGTAAGCTCCGATAAGCTGCCAATGATATAACCCTTTCACCTCTAGTGGCTGCAGATGAGAACCATTCTTGTAAGTGATCAGCTTCAGTTATGGACACATTTCTCTCATCTCAAGGGTGCCACTCACATGAGCATCTATTCTAGTACATGTACTTAGCTCCAGGATCACATCAACTGTCTTGTGTATGGGTGTGATATAAGAACATTTCATCTGTTTTTGCATTATTGGTCGTCTTTATTTGTTTTTTTTGTTGTTGTTGTTTTAGTGATGAAAGTGTCAAGTTCTTTTGCTTTCTAGACTGTTCACAGTCCCCTATTTTTTCGTGAGATCGTATAGATATACCGCGTCTTACCGTCACGGCTGCATCTTGATTTTCAAATGTACCGAGGGGGGGTGTCCGGGATTATAGCTCTGGTGGGGGGACGAGAAAAATAGAGGGACTGTAATAACAACACTGCAGCTCGCATTCACGGAGCGCGTTGTACCAGCAACGCAGGCCTTTGATTGGTCATTAGACAATGGATGTTTATTTGCGTTGACAACGGGTTTAGTTTAAGTTGCCGACACTGAAAAGTCGTTGACAAGTCGATATTTCCATAAAACGTACGCTTTCATACCACAAGGCACATCTTGCGCAAAAGCACGAAGGAGTTTTGGTATTTTGATTAGAAAAATGTTTTCTTGTGTGTGTTTGCCGATTTTATTTCGAGGAATAGCCTGTAAACAGGCCTTTAGTCGAGCGGCGTGGGGAGAGGGAAAAGCGAAAAGGCCTGTGGACAGACCTTTGGGGCCGCCGTTCCACGGCACCCGCTGTGCATCAGATCCTGATGCAAGCTCCTATTGGCGAGAACACTGACTGTTGACAGGTCTGATTGACATCGGCTTTTCGGTCGGCACGTAGCACGCGATTTGATCACAGAGTGGCAATTAACAAAACAGTCCAAAGACTATTACCACGGGGAGGAACTACGCGCTCCGGTCAAAAGACTCAAACTGTCTTTACAAAAACACTAAGCTGAAGTTTATAGTTAACGAAGACCAATGCAATTCTCCATAGCTGATGTAGCTTCGGTTTAAGCTGCATTTCAATCTTATAATTTTGGATCTGTAAATAACCATCCGTGATAATTTTTAAACACTGACGAGCTGGGCCCAGCGTCAGAATACAACATTGCAGAAAATCATTACATACACGGACTAAAGAAAATCGCTTAGTTATTCAGATCGAGAAGGCACTTTGGAGAAAAGTAAGACCCTTATTAAGCCGCAAAAAAAGAAAATGCTCTTGCATCAGAGGACAAATCCTGTCGACCAGAAACAAAAACCACAGTAAATCGATATGTGTGCCACGACCTGTCAGTGTGAAATAAGCGGCTAAAATCACATTTGCTCAGTGAAAATGTAGAACCTTCCAGGGAATAATCTACCCCGCAGAGGAAAAAACTTATGGGAACAAGCAGCATTTTGGCATAAAGTAAAAGTCGTGTCGGCCTACCATGTAATTCCTGTCGGCGATAGAAGCGCTGCTGATCTCTTTGTACTTATCTTCGAAGCTTCACTTTCTGGAGAAGTCATGATAGTATCTGTACCTTCCGCATTCCAAGTTCGCTCATTGCAACGGCTTGTTAAATTACAAACCGAACTAGCAAGACGAACGGCTTGTTTTAAATCCTCTTACCGGAGATCAACGACTTTTTGCAAAATCAACAATGACGTTCATGCTCCATTTCACTCTGTTTTCAGACGGAGCAAAACACCACTCATTTCCTGTTAATTTTCCCAGGAGTTACTCACGCGCGAAATTGATTGACCGATAACGATCTTACTGACAGATGATCGGCAGGATAATTACAAGAGGCGGAATAGCGGCCTCAAATGTTTGTCTACAGGCTCTCTCCCCCCTTTCCCTTCCCTTTCCTCGCTATTTTTCCCCAAACAGAGAGCCTGTTCACAGGCTACGAGGAATGGGCCAAGAAACATTATAAAATCACAGTTTCCCAAGGAGATATTTGTAAACACGCGTAATCGATGCTAAATGTGTCTTGCATGTTTTTCATCACTGGCGGAGTTTCTTAATTAATGAATGGTAAAAGGCGTGAAATTCCTGTCACGCCTCCTGAACGCGAGCTGCAGTGATGTTATTACAGTCCCTCTATTTTTCTCGCTTCCTCCCAAACCTCCCCCGCCCCCTAAGTAGTTTTGACACTCATCTAAGATGGCAGCCCGTAACGCGAAGCGCTCGATCTCGACGATCTTACGGAAAAATAGAGGACCGTGAACAGTCTATTTGCTTTCAAGTATTGGAGCATCACATAAAAACAAGGTAAAATTAAACATAGATAATTTCTTATTAAATAATGATTAATAATAAATTTTACATAATTATTATAATGTGGCGTCCATTTTAAAATTAATCTTCCTTCCGTGGAAAAATCAAAAAGGTTTTATTCTGTTGGCTGATCTGCCATTTTAAATTTTTGTCCACCAAATTATTCTGAATAACTCTGATTAAAAGATGCTATCAGAGAATTTAATTTTTAAATATTTACTCACTTGGTATGATATTATGTAGGCTATTATGATGAAAAACATTCAACTAGAGACAATAATTGGGTTTAATTGTTTTCTTACCAGGAATAACTTACAAACATTTGATCACTAGCTGTATTCAGTATAGACATGCTTCAGTGTCCTGTACTGTACAAGACATCTTGGATGATCTTGTCTAAGTGTGTGATCCTGCTCAAAAAATGGTCATGTTTTTTTATTTTTTAATTCTGTGCACATACATGTGTCATCAAATCTTGTAGATCAACAAGCACTCAGAGAGATTCTTTTGACCTGGCTACGAAATCAGGTACACTAGGCTAATTTACTCTATAGTAGAATCTCAAGGAACATTTTCTCTTTTTTTGCCCCTCACCCTAGATTGCAATGTCTGTCTTTAGGTGAAAAAGGATGTCTTGCTAATACCTTTGACATATTATTATGGCCTAGACTCTCTGTCTGTCTTTCATCAAAATTGAAACAACTTGTTTTACGTCAAAAGGTAGAGCAAAATTGTCAAACTTTGTTTTTTATAGTTGCACAAAGATACCTAAAAGTGGACATAAGTGCATTGGTTTGCAAAGCCATGAGAGTCTTCCTAGCACCTTTGTTCTTTGAATTCTTATACCTACACTGTAGCGGTAATTGTAACATTTTCACTGTGATTTTTCATTGACCCTTGTTGTAACTTTTCAGTGTTGTACCGAGTCAGATAACAAGAATTTCTTGAAGAACAAGGTAGCGCAAGTCTTTAGCTTGATCTTTGTCTGTGATTATCCTGATTATCCTGTGATTATAGCTGATCTACTGTTCTTTCAAGTGTAATGAGCGCAAATACTGCAGATACCCTAAATTGTAGCTGGTGCCCAGATTTCATTCAGTGTGAGAGAACTTCATTTAATTTCCTGCCTCTTTCACAAGCTCAGCCAGCAAGAAAAACATTTTTTTTTGCATTTAAACCTATTGACAATCAGGTAACAACTGCGACTCGTGGTGAAAGTGGGTGCCCAGGATGACCAGGGTCTTGCACTTTTGTGAGAGTCAGCCCTTAGACAGTGTTACGCCCTCATGGCTGGTAAACTCAAGCCGTCCAGCCATGAGCTCCCACACCAATGGAACCAGGCACCTGTCCCAATGATTTATCAGAGAAAAATTAAAGGGCGGGAAGGGGTGGGGGAAATTAAGGCACAATCTAAAGGCTGAACAAAGCGAGTAATCGCCTTGAAAGCATTGTACTAAGCACATGACGCTGATGTTAGCAAGGGTGACTGCGCTAAGAGCCACCACACTGACCGCTGAGCAACAACACACGACGGCGCTCCTTGTTATTAACTGAGTTAAATGTTGTTTAACTTCATGTTACATTTCTGTTCTCCCTGTAGTGGCCGCTGTTTTTCTCAGACCTCCTCCAGTGCTTGCAATATGGAGCATTAGCCGTGGATATGTATCTTAGGATTTTGAAGGCAATTGATGAGGAAGTGGTTGATAGAGATGTGATAAGGAGTCAACAGGTTAATTTTGTGAATTGTTTTAAAAACTGTAATGCTATAATTTCCATTGGTGAAAATATATCTCCAACAGAGAGGGGTACAATCAAACAGAAATTGATAACCTATTCAATTCTATATAATAGTGTACTACCTAACATCTCATACGAACAGCTTGCAACCACTGAAGAACCCATTTTAGTGGGTGTCGGTAAAGTGGGTTTGGACATGTACCTAAATTTTTTATTTGCCTGATATCAAAGCTTGTTAAAGCTTGTCATTCAAGTTGTTTTTGTTGTGACAAAGTCCACCATGCCACACACATGAAGTTGTAGGTGCTAATATGAATCTAAACATGTTGTGCAAAGGGCTATGCTGTACATGTGTGAAATTGCTCCTTATGAAAATCAAAATCCTTTGGAGTTAAAACACTGCTTCTAAAATCTTGCTTGTCACATCTTGAAACTTTAAGACTGTCAACTTTTGTGGAGTTTCAGTTGGTTGTACTTTTACAAGTTTGTAAAACCGTTTACTGATCAATCAGTTTAGAAGCTGAATGAAGTTTTTCTTCCATGAACAGGAAGCAGAGAGGAACACAAAAATTAAAGATCACATCAGGGATACGTGCCTCACAGAGCTCGTTGACTCTTGGTTTCAGATTCTGGTAGGTAGGAATCTTGTATTTTGGTACAACAATGAGGTTGAGGTTTCGCTGAGTGTTTTTTTTATTATGTTTTGTGTGCAGAAAACATATGAAAATAGTGTGTCATCAATAACATGCCTTTGCCTGGACATTATTGGAGCATATATTGAATGGATCGATATTGGCCTGATTGCAAATGACAGGTTTATCAGGTAATGTTCATTGAATAGGGGCAGAGTAAAATTAATGCAGACTGCAGACTCAGACTGTGGACTACACTGAATAATATTTTTAGGGTTAGAAAACAATGGGACTTTTGGTGAAAGAATGAAAGATGGTAAAATTTGAATGTACACCCTGTAGTATAATTTATGGCCTCCCTCTCCATGAGTTCTGCGTAGGTCAAGTGGATAGAGCATCCGCCCGGTGTTTGGGAGCTCATAGGTTTGAATCCTGTCAGGGACTCAGATTTTTTCTTTGTCCCACGCTCGTGACATGCTGATTATTTTATTTTTCACAATATTACTTTTGTTGTCACATTGTCATTTGCTTTGTGAAAACAATAGTCATCAGTCTGTGTTTTACGCTGACTGATGGTAAAAATGTTTCCTTTGCTCTGTGTTATTGTTTGCTTTCAATTCTCATAAAGTCAGTTTTTGCAAGTAGCCTGTCAGTGGTTGAAGTCAACTGGCAGCTAATAATATGGAAAAGCATCATTTCTCATTGCTGAAAACTGTAAAAAGAGGATTTTACTATTAGCACAACCTTTGATTTTGTGTCCCGCTTACAAATTGATCATGTTTCTTTGTAGTACCTTTCTCCGGTACATGACAGTTGAAGTTCTTCGAGAGAGCGCTTGTGATTGCATACATGAGATTATCATGAAGGGAATGGAGCCACTGGCAAAGAAAGAACTGGTGCAATCTCTTCTGAGCGTTCTGGAGAAAAGCAGCATCCTTGAACCACAAGAGGTAAAATGATTATTCATGTGTAAGCGTAACATTTTTGTCCAAGATTGTAGCTTCAGTACGCAGTTTCCTCCATATTCCCAGGGGTGAATGGGTGAATGTATTTTTTGTTTAATTTGTCATTTGAATCATCACTTTTAGGATGAAGATGCTGACTTCATGGCCAAGTTAGCAAAACTGACGAGTGCTTCAGGATCACAGCTTCTAAACAGCTACATGCACTAAGTAAGAGATTGTTGATTTGCTAGCACAATTTCAAACTGTGTTCTTAAGCAAGACAATACTTTAGAGAGACTGAGAGTTGTATTGTCAGGAAACAGAAAATGTCAGATTCAAGTTTAGAATTTCTCAAAATTGAAAATGTGCAGCTAAAAACAAGACATAACTAATGTGAAGCTACTAAGTTTGTGGTAGAATTAGTAAACAGTAAATTGAACAACAAAGTTAAGGGAAAACTTGGTCACATGGTATGAATTTCACGTTTGCTGTAAACATAACTATAAATCTTTCTATTATCCTGGACAAAAGTCCTTGAGACAGTACTGCAATATTCTTATTTTTCTGTCATTTCTCGGTTCCCTCTTAAAACAGTGCCATCCTTTTTAAAATCTTCTTGCAGTTCTCCCTCCCCCCTATACAAAGTTGAAAGTCGGTAAAAATTCAGGATAGTTGATACACACGTCCAACATTGGTGAGGGAGGGTTGGGCCTGTGTGAATTGGAAAACGTCCTTGAGAAATGCAGAAGTGTTCCACAACTTTTGGTAGAATATCAGAAACTTTGCTCACCAATTATGGAAAGGTACTACACTCTGTAATTTATCTGCATTACATTTTTAAACTTTTTTTTTGGTATTAATGGCCTCGTTTAATAAAACACTTTAAAAAAGTCAAACTTCTGTAGAGCTGATCCCCCCAACCGAAACAATCTAGAAAGAGCTCAAAAAGAGATGCAGTTTTTTTAGTTTGTTGTTATAATTCAGCACTGAATACGAGAAAGGTCGTAACACGTTTTTCGTGTTCCAGTTACTCTTATATGCCAAGCATGACCAATGGTTGTTTAAGTGAAAGCGTAGGCTAGAAAGATTTTCCTGGTGATTCGCTTTGCAAATGTGTAGCAAATTAGAATGCTGAGTTTACAGTAGTGCAAGGGCCGGCATAACTTATCTTAGAGAAGCCCCTAACATTCTTTTCTGTGGTGTTCTGCTTTTTAAGAACATTATCAAGGAGCAGCTTCTGTTGAATCGAATGGCTGATGCCTGTATCAACTTGTTTGCTATGACGGCTTTGATTTCCAGAGCAGTGCGATCCATAAACCAAGTGCCAGCCATGAGGTGAGTGATAGGTAGCATATTTAAATAAATGTAAGGAAGATCTGTGCATTTAAACTCGCACTAGCCTGCGTAGCAGGTGTTCAAAAGGGAAGGGAAAGGGGATTTGGGGTTTCTGCGAAGTGGTTTCGTGCCCAAATTCTCTTTACCTTCCCTTTTGAACGCCAGCCATGCAGGCTAAACTCTCTTACTTGTGTATTTGTGAAAAAATAAAAGCCTGAAAAAATTCAGATTCGAACCAGGATTCCGGATTCGGGATTTGGGAGCCGGGACTCGAACCCTAACCTAGTGAGGCCTTTATTTAATGAGTATTAACACAGGCAATCGAGAAATATCACTGGAAATTAAGCTTAAAATGAGTGACAATGTTGTTGTCGAAGTAATTGCGGCTATTTTCTTTTTGCGGTAACTGACTTTACGTCAACCCTCTCACCCTTAACCTTCCCAGCAAAAAATGTTTAAAAAAGCTCGATACCATGGTAACGGTAAGAGCTATTTTTGGTGGCCTTCGCAAAATAGATTTACCAGAGGATTTTGAATTTATTTATCAACTGTGTCTTTTTTTTCAATATGTTTTCCTTACAGATACAATATGCACTAACAAGTGCAATGTGAACAATGCTCTCTCTAAAGAAGTCAGATCAGGTTAGAAGCTGCATTGTTTTTTATTGGGCAGGGTGTAGCTATCTTAATATACTGTAAGTGCTCTATTGTAGCGCAAACTTTGTTACTTGGGTGCCAGTCTTCATAGTTCATAGTGTCCTGCCAACCGTTAGGCTATGTTCACACTATACTAGATAGCTTTTCCTGCCGACACAAAAAGCTATCCGGTATAATGTGAAAACCAATCCGATATATGACCCTCCAATTTCAAAACTGGCATGGCGCACCTTTCATTCCGTTACAGAGATGGCGCCGAAATCACCATTCTCAGACGTGAACAGAAGCCCCATCTGGTAGGAGTTTCGTGACGGCGAGACATTTTTAGTGTCATCACACAGCGCCCCTCCCGTCACAACACTAAACACAGCTGTGGCTCTATAGCAGACTAAACAGATATTGGGTGTAGTGTGAACATAGCCTCAGTCTCACACATTGGTGAGTGGTGTTGTGTGACGATATTAGTCTGCTACACAGCTGTTTTTAGTGTCGTCACACAACACTCCTCCAGTCACAACACTAAACACAGCTGTGGCTGTATAGCTGACTAAACAGATATTGGGTGTAGTGTGAACATAGCCTCAGTCTCACACATTGGTGAGGGGTGTTGTGTGATGATATTAGTCTGCTACACAGCCGTTTTTACAGTCGTCACGCAACGCTCCTCCCGTCACAACACTAAACACGGCTGTGACTGTACAGCAGACTAAACAGATATTGGGTATAGTGTGAACATAGCCTTAGTCTCACATATTGGTGAGGGGCGTTGCGTGACAAGACAAAACGGCTACATTGCTAGGTCAACACAACACTTAGTATCTTACAATAATTTAATACCTCTCAACTCAAGCGCGTTTTCCGTTTGAAAAGGAATGTGTCACATGCTGCCTGCCATGTGCAAACCTCTCTAGCTCCCAAACAAACCTTACTCACACTTGACCAGGTCACGTGGTTTGAACCTACAAAAATCCATGTGCCGATCGAGCCAAACAAAAAAAATTGCCACTCTCATTACTAAACCTAATTGATAATTTGTTTTAGTATTCACCAAATCAGTGGATAGCAACTTTCACGCAGTCTGATTAGCTCCAGTAACTCGGAATATCCTTTGACATTCACTGTTTTTGGACGAAATTCAAAATGGCTTCCCGTTTCGCAACAGTTTCGAAAGATAAAATGTTAGCGATAAATGAAGCAGCTGCACCAACAAATATCTAGAATAAGACAAAATTGGGCTTGTCGGTGTTTACTGGCTGGTAGAAAAAAAATTTCTCACTGAATTTGCAACAAAATCATAAAAAATGATTCCTGAAACACTGTCAATTGAAACGTAAACAAACTCTGGCTAAGTGACGTCGTTTGTTTACAAAAAGTTCCGTCAGGGTCGGTTCATAGTGCTGGATATATACCTCGACGCTTCGCGTGTCAGTATAATTATATGCACCACTATTCACCTCCCCTTCGGGGGATAGTTGTATTTAACAATTAGTTCATGCGTCAGCGTGCGTATGTCGAGATATTGAGCACGCGGGAAGTTTGGAGAGCACGAAAGAGGCGTAAGAGTTGCACGAGGCGCAGCCGAGTGCAACTCTAGCCTCTTGAGTGCTCTCCAAACTTCCCAAGTGCTCAATAACTCGACATACGCACAGCTGCAGCATGAACTAATTGTTTTATAACATCATCAAAGCGATCAATGCATCAGTTAACTTATAATTTTATTATTGTAGGGTGCGCTCAAAGCAGTACGCGTCAATGTTTACGTGACTATATATTTTTTTCCTCACAGTTAATCTTATGTTTTTATCCTGAAACTGAGAGAAAGTGTACTCTAAAATGATTATAAAATCCATATTTAGGTGCCGGAAAACTATTAATTTACCGAAAAATTGTTATTGAGAGAAAACAAGTTTGCAAAGAATGATCTCACGCCATAGCCCGCACAGCTCGCGGAGATGACAACAACAACAACAACAACACTCACCTCTTTTCCTTACTATTATCGGTTAACAAATTCAAACGTTTCCTCTTAAATTTCCTTATAAAACACATCGTAAACGCTTCCTTGTCTATTGCTGAGTTATGGATGCACTCAGGAGACTCAGGATTGCTAAGCTCACAACCACTCGAGGAATTACGAATAGTTTATTGACGTCATCAGCGTGCTCAATAGGAATATGAAGCACGCTCGCGCTATTGAATTTGATTAGGCGAATTTTCTAGCTATGTTATAAATTATTTTTGACATTTCAGAAATGACAAAAAAGTCCTAAGCCCCGTCTGGCAACAGTTTAAATTATTCTGACTCTGCGGGATGTAAAAGACACACCAGGGGCGTATAAACAAATTTCTGACATTGACCCCCTCCCGGCCCTCCCCTCCCCGTGATCTTGGGTGAGCAATCCGTAGGAAAAGATCTTCATTCAGTGATAAACCCTCGGATTCTCCTTCAGGGTGATGAAGCAGCTACCTACAAACATACTTTAGATATGAGTTTTTTAGGTTTACTTCGCTGTATGTAGCCTGGGAATGCAGATGTATTTCCGGTCGTCCCTTTTCTCCACCCGGAAGTAAGAAAAGCGACGACCGGAAATACGTCTGCGTTGACAGGCTACATACAGCGAAGTAAACCTAAAAAACTCATATCCCATGTATGTTTGTAGGCAGCTGCTTCATCACCCTGAGGGAGAATCCGAGGGTTTATCCCTGAATCAAGATCTTTTCTTACGGATTGTCCACCCAAGATCACGAGATCACCAAGATTTCTTTGCCTCGCACCTTTTTTTTTTCGGTTCTACTGTTTTGACGTCTTTGTTTTCTTTGTTTTACGTTACTCGTCAGTGTTTTACAGGTTCTTACAGCGGGGGTGAGCCAGTTTTTTTTAGGAGTTTTGGTTTGTTTCATCTTCAGGTTCAAAAAGGAATGGAGACGATCATTTTAAAGAAAATTGCCACAGATGTTTTCCATAACGGAGGGTGCGTAGCACCGCACACACTGAACGTCTAAAAATAATTTATTTTCATGTTTTAAATTATTTCACATGAAACTGTATAATTACAATTATTTATTATGTAATGTCTGTTAGTACAGGATGTATTTTAATGTGTATAGACAGGGGCCAACGGGCTTCTGGGATAGTACATTCTGTTGACAGCTTTTCTTTTGTATTTCTGTTCTTGAATAATGTGATACAAGGAAACTTTAACGTTTATACCATTGTTCTGAGTCTAAATTTAACTTCTTTTCCTAGTAGGTGAAAAGAAGGCTCAAGGCTGTAAGAGTAACCACGTATTGAATAAAATACGTCAGGCATTCACAGTTTTAACAAGTGATGTGCAAATAATTGTTTTTCTTCAGCCAGGGTCATGCGAAGTAGATGCGTTGAATGTGAGCTCGACGCTGTAGTGAAGCCTGGACGTTTTTAGTTGCTTTATTTCATACTACTTTTCTGGTCCCAGGATTATTGATTTCTTTTTTATTGGGCTGCCTGTGGCAAACCCACAGGGCGACGCTCAATCAAGGAATGAGAAGTAACATTCTTCCATGGTCTTCCATCTTAAGTCGAAAAAAGACAAAATGGCGGGCTGATCTCCCAGTAGGCATTGCGTGTCCCTTTCCCCCTGCAGTTGAGCCGATTTTTAAGGGAAGGGGATGGGGCATTTCATATAAAAGGCTTTCAAAGTCCTATGCTTACGCCAAAAAGGAAGGAAAAACCCATCGAAACTTTTTGCCTAAAGTCGCCCTACCTCATAGACAAATTTAACTTGTTAATGGGATTAGAAAACAACATTAGTAAAAGCTAGTAGTACGTTATTTGTTTTAACTCAACTATGCAGATAGATCTTAAAAAAAGATCGCACGCTTGTCACTTGTAACAAACAAACACAGTAAATTTAACCGCATGGAATTTTTGCAGCCCAATACACGCGTAGTATACGCGTCTTGTCTCAGTAAAATCACTAGATTTGTCGTAAGGCTCTGACTACCCTGGGTTCTAGACGTTGTTCCTCACGTGCGGCGGGCGGGATGCTTCGATGTCGGCCGCTGGCCGAGAGATCTTCGGCCGACCGAAGGCCGAAGCCACGAGCAGCAATACCTTGCGGGTCACTTAGAACCGGTAACTGGACATGAAAAGTCTCTGGCACTTAGGGTAGCCTCTGACTCCCTATGGAAATTCTTTTCTCCAAGCAAACCACTTCCTATGTTGAAATTTGTAGCTTCTGTCTTTATCGCTGCTGCTGCTTAAACGAGAAAATTAAAAACCTGCAAAGTATTCGAGAATCTTCACCCTGGACGGTGGTGCAGCTACTGCCATTGTTGACCAAAAAATTAAAATCATCTCAGGGTTACCCAACGAGAGTATAGTTCAAAACTACTTAAACACATAGCATTGTTAAACGTATTTTAGTATTTAAACGGTAGATATAGAGATATTTTTATCCCCGAAAAATTGCCCATCTGTTCCGATTTCCTGGCTGAATGTCTAGTGATCCGAAAATTATAGGGATCAAAACTTACCTTTTCGAAAATTTCAGCCAGAAAAAAAGGCTCCCGAAAATTCTAGGTGACCTTTCTAGGGTAAAAACCGTTAAAAATGGGCAATTTTATCATTTTGTAGATGTTCGGAAATCCTAGGAGAGGCAGGCAAGCAAGGAATTTTACAACAAATGTTCCGAACAAATTCTAGATCTCAAATCGTCTTCCGAACAGATATTTTCCGAAAATTGTCGTTGGGTACCCCTGAACATCTTGCCCCTCTCTAGATATACGTTGTAGGGAGGTGGCCGTTATTGCCAAATCAAAGATGAGTTGATGAGATCGCCAGGCGAACAAAACTGCATCCGAGAGGGGAGGGGTGACCTTAAAGTCTTCCTTTCCTTGCTCTAAGGCACTGTAGCCACCCCTACGCCAGAGTCTTGCTCCCTTTTGACACTGAACGAGAGAAAATATATATGGTCCATTTGGGCGACGGCGTCGTTTGATCCCAGGAATTGCGGGACCCGCTGGACCAACCAACAAAGCATGTTACGCCACGTAGAAAGGTTAAAACCCTTTCGCACCGTTTAAATATTTCCTTTTCTTCAGTTCTTTAAGATTTAAATGTCGATTGTGGTCAAGCTCCCCCCCCCCCCCAAAACCTGGGGAAGAAACCCAGGGTAATTGACTCGCTGATGGACGCGGAAAGGCGGGAATTTGACAACAGTGACTGCTATTGGGGTGTAGAACTTGATGGCATCTGGGATTCGAAGAGGATTGAAACAAATTGTCTCAATCATGTTAAACTACTTTTGGTGTTGTTAAAGTGTAGCACCTTGATAAAAATTAATTATGGCGGGTATGGAATATTTGGAAACTTGTGTTTGTTTCTGTTTCTCCTATGTTCCTTGTTGCTGTTGCCAAGCAAGGCCCAGGGGTAGGGTATATGACAGGAAATCTGCAACAAAAAAGTCCATTTTGGAGTCAACTCTCGCCTTGCGGACACCCCGCTATAACGTACACCCCGGTAATACGGACGACAGCTAAATCCCAGGAAAAAATAGATTATATTATTATATAGACACGAGTGTTTTACTGGAAAATATACCACTCGTAAAATTCATAAAAACCACATCCGGGACCCGAGTGGTTTATTTTCCATGATCTCACACGTGAGTTTATCGATGACGTAATTTCGGTAATTTCCCTCTATTATTTTATCGATGTCTTTTTGTGAAATGAAAAGAACATTACACGGCGGCTTGAAGATATGAATTTCATTTTCTCATGGCAAAAACAATATTTTACTCACTCGCTGCGCTCGTTCGTAAAATACTGTTTTCAATTGCCACTCGAAAATAAAATTCATATCTTCGCGCCACCGTGTAATATCCTCTATATATACAGACGTTTGACTAAAATAAACTCCCGCTATTACGGACTCTCGCTAATGAGGACACTAACTCAAGGCCCCTACAGTGTCCGCTATAAAGGGAGGTGACTGTACTTCCAAAAAACTCCCACACACACTCATACAGTGTGAGCCACGTCAGAGGGTCAATCACAAGGCATATCAGTATCCAGCAGTTTTCGGAGAAAAACAGGAAGTATCAGATCAACTTAATAATAATAATAATAATAAAATATTTATATAGCGCTTATACTTTTCAGTGCTAAGCGCTTTACAATACTTCAAAAAGGTCTGAATAAAAAATAAAAATCTTAAAATCATTACATATATATACATATATACATAGCCACAAAAATACAAATTAAAAAACCTAAGATAGTTCATAAACTCGTTTAAAAAGAAAGGTCTTCAATTTAGATTTAAACTTATTTACATTATTGATCGATCTAATGTCAATAGGCAAATCGTTCCAGAGTATAGGGGCAATGACTGAAAAAGCCCTGAAACCGTATGTCTTTAAGTTATAGGGCTTAATAACAAGATGCCACTTGTCTGAAGATGATCGAAGGCACCTCGCAGGTTCATAAACATGGATTAGGTCAACCAAATAATCAGGAGCTAAATTGTTGAGTATCTTAAAACAAATAAGATTAATCTTAAAGATTATTCTTGGCTCCACTGGTAGCCAGTGCAACTCCATTAGAGTATCACTTATGTGATACTCTAATGGAGTATCTTTGCAGAAGGTTCCATCAATTGTCTACGCAAGTCCTGGGGGGCGACATAAAGATTTCTTTTTTATTTTTCACTTTTCCATTTTTGTTTTTAACTTTTTGATTTTTACTTCGCCATTTTGGAAAAATGGAAAAGTGAAAAATAAAAGCGAAATCACTATGTGGCCCCCCTGGGCTTCCGTAGTCTACATCATCCGTTTAAAGACCTTTTTTATAGCGTTTCGTTTTTTTGTTCAGAGATACTGTTGATAACTGTATATTAGATTTCACGCTTCGTATGCTGTATAAATTGTCATGGTTGCTTGCTTTTTGGGAGCTATTTCTGTAAGCACTTCCGTCACTTTTGTTGACGTCACACGTAGCTTGATCAAAGTGAAACCATAGTTAGTACAAGAGACTGATTAGGAAACCCGGCAAACATCAAAGTTGAAATTAATAGTGCTGTAGGTTATGTTGGAAGCTCCCTGACCGTGCACAATCCTTTGGTTTTTGTTCACAGATTGTGACTGAATAAATTAATGCAATGTTTCTATTGTTCAGTAAGTTTAAAATGATAGGAATGCTATTGAGCGTTGTGCATTGTCAGGTCCAAAATAGCTAACAAAAACCTATAACAAGAGGTTTCCCAACCATTCCACTTTAATTAACTATGGTAAAACTGAAAGCTAAATGAAGGGAAAAATCCCTCATACAAGATTCATCTTTCCCTTGGTAAAAGTTTTGATTGACGCTCAGGTTAGTTTTGTGCAGGTCATGCCCAGTTATTTCACTTGTGAAGGAAAATTCAATTGACTTTTTTACATAAACTTGTCTTACAAAGTATCATTTCCTCGAAGACCCTTTTGTCGTCACGAATCAAGGACCCACTGCTGTAGTCTTGCGAACTATCAAGATTCGGGAATTTACAGCTGAGGTATGCATTTAATACGTTAGCTTCAGTTACACCTCAGTTGATTAAGAAATGCCCTTGGCTTTATTCGCTCGGATTTTTTCTGACGAGCTTTAGATCATTCGAAGTCGGCACGATCGTTTATATTTGGAGATGGCAAGACACAATTTTCAGCTACCGTACCCTGATCGAAGAAAAATCAAGACGGTATGGGAGCGTATACTTCGGTGTCATGGTTGTGGATTAGTTGTGAATGCGGAGGAATAGTAAGAAATGATATTTTTCCGGATACCCTTCCGTACAGATACCCTTACCTTTCTTCTTTTCTGTAACAGACGAAATCTTAACTTTTTCACCGGAAGTCTGCTACACTCTCAGTCAAAATTGTTGGGACACTTTGCCATTTGCACAGGGAGTTTACATTAGATAACAAAGAATCTCATACCTCTGTGATTGCTGTAATCTGTTAATTCTCCGAGTGATAGTTATCCGTCTGTGATCATTTGAGTCGGTTAAGGGCAAAACAGTTCCTTTGGATCATCCCTTTCGCTTATTTATGGTCTAGAAGTTTCGTCGTCGGTTATTTAATATTTCTTATTACAAACGATTTGTTTAAAAGGATTCCGTACTCTTTGAATGGTAGTTTTAATGCTTACGTAACAACAAACAAGGAAGTGCACATACGATCAATGGAAATCCAGCGCCGGTTGTCAAAGGATGTGGTTCTTAAAATCTAGGTTCTTATACGCGGGTTTTTACTGTATCGATAATGATAAAACAGAACCATCAATGAGTTCCCACCCTGGGGGGAGAAAAACTCCGAGCTGTTTGCTTACTGACGAGCACGGAAAGCGAGAATTTGTCTAGCATGCGTAGCAGGCGTCGAAGGGGGTAAGGATTGGAAGGAAGGAGGGGAGGGAGGGGTGGGTAATTTGATACCATGTTATTAGTGGAGGATTAAAAACGGCAAACTGCCTCAATACACTACAATCTCTTGTAGTGAATTCATATCAACTTGATAAAATTTTAGCGGAGATATAAAGTTGGGAGGAGTTTGAGGAAAAACTATCTTTCGCAATATTACGAGTTAAATTTGTCACCAGACCGGTTGTCAAGCAAGTCCCAGGGGTAGGACATATGACAGCACATCTGCGATGTCAATTGAAATTCCATTTTACTTCAAGTCGAATCACACACAAAGTGACTGAACCTCGTTAGAAGGGCACTCATCCTGCACCAATCATATCCGGCAGTATATTCAGAGAAAAACAAAGTCTCAGACCAACTTCCTCAGTGGAAGATTCGATCAGTCTACAGCATCTGTTATAAGATCGTTTTGTGAGTTTTTTGTTAATTTGTTCAGAGAAATATTAACAACTGTATATTACAATTAATGTGACCCCTCATATGCTTCATTAGTTTTCAAATTTTCCTGGATGGCTGCATTTTGGGAGCTGTTTCTGGGAGCACTTACATCACTTTTGTTGACGTAATTTAGTTGATCAAAGTGAAACGGAAAGCTTTTAAATTATATTAAAGGAACGAAAAATCCCATAAGTTCAACATTTTCTTGGTAGAGGGGTTGATTGTTGCTTCATGTAAGGTTTGTACAAGTGCCTGTTATTTGTGGAGGAAAATACAATTGACTTTTATACTTAAACTTGTCGAACAAAATATGATTTGCTCGTAGATCCCTTGGTAGTGACAAGTCAAGCGAAGTATCAAGACTATTTGGGAATTTATAACTGAGGTACGCATTGCATAGGCTGAAATTTTACTTAAACTCCAAGGTTCCTTATTTCGTTGTATACCTGCCACCTCTCACGCCTGCCGACTTAAGACATCAATCTCGCGCATCAAGGACCATTCAGCTGACAATTTCTCACGTCTGACTCGCAAATTACTCGTGCATACATGGTTAATTATCATCCCTTTCTGTATGAAAGCTAAATGAAGGGAAAAATCCCTCATACAAGATTCATCTTTCACTTGGTGAAAGTTTTGATTGACGCTCAGGTTAGTTTTGTGCAGGTCCCGTTATTTCATTTGTGAAGGAAAATTCAATTGACTTTTATACATAAACTTGTTTTACAAAGTATCATTTCCTCGTAGACCCTTTCGTCGTCACGAATCAAGAACCCACTACTGTACTCTTGCGAACTATCAAGATTCGGGAATTTACAGCTGAGGTATGCATTTAATACGTTAGCTGCAGTGACACACTGACACCTCGGTTGATTTTGAAATGCCTTTGGCTTTGATCGCTGGGAAACGTTCTGACCAGCTTTAGATCAGTCTACATCGGTACTATATATCGATATTGATGAAACAGAACCATCAATGAGTTCCCATTCGGGAGGAGAAAAACCCTGAGCTGTTTACTTACTGATGAGCACGGAGGGTGAAAATTTGTCTGACTGCGTAGCAGGCGTCAAAAGGGGTAAGGGGATTAGAAGGAACAGAGGGAGAGAGGGATGGATAATTTGTTACCATCGGAGTAGTAGAGGATTAAAACCGGCAAACTGCCTCAATCTCATGTCATGAAATCATATCACCTTGAAAAAATTTTTTCGGATATAAAAAGTTGGGAGGAGTTTAAGGAAAAATTAATCTTTCATAATATTACGACCTAAATTTGTCACCAGTCCAGTTGTCAAGCAAGTCCCAGGGGTAGGACATATGACAGCACATCTGCGACGTCAATTGAAATTCCATTTTACTTCAAATCAAACACAAAATGACTGAGCCTCGTTAGAAGGTCACTCATCCGGCACGAATCATATCCGGCAGTATATTCAGAGAAAAACAAAGTCTCAGACCAACTTCCTTAGGGCCTGTTTACATGGAGGTGGGGGACCCCAGGTAGGTGAGGTAACCCGCTTAGGTGAGGTAAAAAAATAACCCTCCTTTACATGCAATCTTACAACCCCGCCTTCCCGGGGTGCACTTTCTCAAGATTATTGAATGGTGGCTAAGCACGTAAACAAGAAAAATGCTGGCAAACCACGAGTTTTGGCGATTAATGCACTTCTTCACTCACTTGTTGCTCTTGCTGCAACCCGTCAGTGCAGTAGCTTTCTATTGTTAACTTTAATCATAATGCAAAGACACCGCGAAAGCGAATTTTGCGCGAATTTGATGTATCACGAATCCGACCCCGGCCAGGCGGGTTACCCCACCTTGAAACGTTTACATGAAAAATTGTGACCCCGGCTGAGAGGGTAACCCGGTCTGGTAGACCGGGCTACCCGCCTTGGCGGGTCACCCCACCTATCATGTAAACGTGATCAAATGAAAATGAGAGATTATATGGACAGGCGGGTTACCCCACCTAAGCGGGTTACCTCACCTACCTGGGGTCCCCCACCTCCATGTAAACAGGCCCTTAGTGGAAGATTCCATCAGTCTACAACATCTGTTATAAGGTCTTTTTGTGAGTTTTTTGTTATTTTGTGCAGAGAAATATTAATAACTGTATATTAGGTTTAATGTGATCCCTCATATGCTTCATTAGTTTTCAAATTTTCCTAGATGGCTGCATTTTGGGAGCTATTTCTGGGAGCACTTCTGTCACTTTTGTTGACGTAATTTAGTTGATCAAAGTGAAACGGAAAGCTTTTAAATTATAACGGAAGGGAAAATCCCATAAGTTCAACAATTTCTTGATAGAGGGGTTGATTGTTGCTTTATGTAAGTTTTGTACAAGTGCCTGTTATTTGTGGAGGAAAATACAGTTGACTTTTATACTTAAACCTGTCTTACAAAATATGATTTGCTCGCAGATCCTTTGGTCGTGACAAATCAGGCGAAGTATCAAGACTATTTGGGAATTTATAACTGAGGTAAGGCATTGCATAGGCTGACGTTACACTTAAGGTTCCTTTATACGGTGGCTCGTAGGGACAAAACACTTCCCAGAATCCAAAAACACTTCGCCAAAACACTTCCCAGAATCCAAAAGTGTTTTGGATTCTGGGAAGTGTTTTGTCCCTATGAGCCACGGTACCTTTACCTTTGCATTATACATTATTTGCTTGTATACCCGCCATCTCTCACGCACTGGGTGATTCTCACGCCTGCGAACTAAGGACACCAATCTCGCGCATCAAGGACAATTCAGCTGACAATTTCTCACGCCTGACTCGCAAATTACACGTGCATTCATGGTTATCATCCCACTCTGTATACAGCTGAACCTCCATTAAGCGGCCAATAATCAAAGTCCTGAAATAATTTTAGAAAAGAAGGGGAACTTAAACCTCTACCACCTCTATTAAGCCTGTACACAGACGTTGTTTTATTTTTCTTTTCGTTCTTTTCGAAAACATCGGCAAGCGCGGAGCGCGAGAAAGAAAAGTAACGAACGTCGGTCTATTTTCTTCTTCCCCCACCCCTACCCCCTTGCGCTAGCGGTCACTAAATCCCCCGCGGTTTATATTTTTTTATAGCCTGTGTACAGACCCCCCTCCCGTCAGTAACAATCTCCGAATTTTTACTGAGGTTGGGGGGGGGGGGTCTGTACACAGGCTATATTTTTATCTTTGAAGAGAAAATAGAGGGTCTGTGAACAGGCTACAAATAGTTGTAGAAAAAAATGGGAAAATAAACCTCTATTGAGCGGTCACCTCTATTAAGCGATCGCGGCCACCTTTCTGCCGTTCCAACTCTCTTTCCAGGTCTGTTCACTGTGCCCCTGATGAGAATGACAGACCTTCTGAGGGGACTAAAATTTTAAATAACATCAGTCTATGTTCCCGTCTATATTAGTGATCTCACTAGTACTTTAATAATAACAGTGTAACATAGCTATTTATCTATTTAGTTCTCGTACCATAGCTAAATGAGTATTTACCACTTACTTAATGCTATGCATTCTTATTAAAAAAAACTAACGTATTTGTGGCTATTCTTCCCGCAGCTGCATGTAGTTTACGCTCAATGAACTGATGTGTAGTCATTGAACCACTGGTGTGGTAATTGATCTGTTGTCTACTTATTGAACTGCTGTGTCGTTATTGAACTAACAAAAAAGAAAACATAGTTTTTCCATAGTTGTCAACTCTATTAAGCGGCCATCAAGCACTTGACGCACTAAGTTTAGCCATATTTTAAGAATATGATGAAGACAGTCCGAGATAGAAGGTGACGGCCGATTGTGGACCAGTAATGCTGCCCCTGTTGAGTGTTCGTTTTAAAATAAAGTGATGTTTCTAGACCAAAGAATATGCATGAATGGCGACCAATGGAGAGACTGATCACCTTGGTTGTGGACATTTCATACAAATTCACTCTTGTATGAGTATTTTCTTTCTTTAAACACTTGCATAAGTGATAAAAAATTTGTACTTTTTACATGGATTCAGTGCTTGATAATGAAGGCCCGCATATTCAATAATCATATATCATGATCACTTTAATAATTCTCATGAACTGCATCCTTAATGACATGACATTAGTTTGCTTACGCCCCGTGAGAAACCTCTGCAGCAAGCCGCTTGGGATTTCCGTTGAGCATGCGCCAGATTAATTATTCGTTGCTATAGAGATAATGACGTAAATTTTATCACTTAAAAGAAATTAGTGCGGTCAACACTTATTTCCATCCGCCAAACTGACGTTGACAGATTAATGATTCGTACACAAAGTAAGGGTTAGGGTTAGGGTTGTCAGGAAATCCTCGGTGGTGTAGGGGTTAAAGTAATGCACTGCAGAGCCGATACTCCGAGATCGAATCCTACTCGTGCCATCTTGAATTTCTTTTTCCCTTAAAAATTGAAGAGACTTAGGCTTTTATGAACAGAAATTTCAAGAGACAAAGAAATTTCATGTAAGAAAAGTGAAATGTCTTGTGAGAGCCACTGAGAGGAAAATGTCAGTTTGGCGGATGGAAACAAGTGACGAGATTACCTAGCCGAGATTTCCTAGCCGTCGCTTCTCTCCCGGAAATTCGTCTGCTGTTCGTAGGTTACCCATTTGCTCCTGTTGCACTCTAATGTCAAGGACAAAGACAAACCGGAGGACAGACAGGAAGCAGTATTAAAGATCAAATGCTGCGACTGCCAGGCTACTTACATTGGTGAAACCGGCAGAAACCTTAGCACGCGACTGACCGAACGCAAATGAGCGACGAGAAATGGTGACGTCAACAATTACATTGCCGATCACCATTTACAGGCGAAACATCAAATCGACTGGGACTCTGCGACATGTATTAGCTATTCTCAGACTACTATCAACGATCCACTTTAGAAAGCTGGTTTACTAACTGAGAACAAACGTCATTGAATCGTAGTCAACAGTTGCCGGCACCGTACAAACAACTTTATTGACGGACTAAAGCAAAACTAATTACGAGAGAATGACTGGACAACCGACAATTTGACTAACATAAACGACTGTTTAACTGTGACAATATAGACGGATGGAAAGTCAACTGTCCAATGACATTACGAGTCTTCATAGCCAATATTAAAATCATTGCTTAACTGACAGACGACCAATAGCATCGCGACTTAATTGTCCAATCAGATCAATAACCAGAGTTTAATACAGTCAAACGTCCCGTAAGCGAGCACCCAAAATGCAAAGACTTAGTGGTCGCTTACGGGAGGTGGTCGCTTACAAGAATCGAACCACAGGGGGCCTCTTCCGAGAAGAGGTCTGGGCACATCTACTTTATGGAAGATAATTTATTGTATGCAATTTCTAAGTTACGCCATGTGTACTGAGTTCAATGTTGTTTCTAAAGTTCTTCGTACATGTCGTATATTCTAAGTAGGATAGTGCACACAGCGAACTAAGGATCAGAGAATGCGTCAAGTGGTCGAGTTTGGTCGCTTAGTAGAGCTTAAAAACAATGGAAAATCATTAAACCTTCAGGCCCAAAAAGTGGTCGCGGTCGCTTACAGGAGGTGGTCGTTTCCTAGAGGTTCCAACTGTAAGGCTTTGACTAGGAAAGTTTTGGTGCATGAGTTTTGGATTGGCGGTCTCTTATGGGAGGTGGTCGCTTACGAGAGGTGGTCCCACATGGAGGTTCGACTGTACCATCAACTGACGTAATACAACTCACTTTGACTCTGAAGATGACTACCGCGCGTCGATCAATATAAACAACAGTTCTGTTTAGGACTTCGTTAATCCTGACCATCATGCTCATCCTGCTTATAGATCTACTGAAGAAAATATGAGGGAAAAAAGGGAAACTCCTCAGGTTTTTACACCGAGTTGGACTTGAGCTGGAACCGAGCACACCAAGGGGCCGGGGGGGGGGGCTATCCCTATTTTATTGACTTTATATTAACCATTTTGAAAACCCACAAGCTTAAAATGATAGTAACTTTCTCAGTGTTTTAGTGGTAAAGAAATAGGTCTTCTTTTCAATTGCTAAACACTTGTATTCCACAACCCAGAGATGTTAACCCTTAGAAATAAGTTCACTTTCCCAAATTTGAATTTACTGAAATGTTTCCGCTGGCCCGGTCTGTAGTTTGTTGACAACAAGTTTATTTTTTCAGTGGAAGGTAGATGAATGTATAATGAGTAGATAGACAATTTTTATTATATAAACACCAATGAAATACCAATTGAGCTTTCGTGCGAAAACTTGATATCTTAACATTTGAAAATAACATGTTATCTTCACATGTGAAAATGTCATTGTTGCTATAGAGTGTTTTCACTCACGTGGCCAGCATCTATGCAAATTTATTGGAACAAAAGAAAGCGTTCGCATAAGAAAAGAGTACAACTCTCAGAGGATTGGTTTGGGACACCAACATGGCCGCCGTTTCATTGTTTTGGGACACCAATATGGCCGCTGAGAAGTCATGTGAAAACACTCTATAGCTTCATAATAAACCGCACCTTGAGACCAAAAAACTATTTAAGTAAAATGGTTGGTATTTCATTGGTGTTTATATAATAAATAGAACATTACATGAGCGCTTGGAGATACGAAATTTCTCTTGTGTTGAAAAAAAAAAATTTCACGAGTGAGCGCAGCGAACGAGTGAAATATTTCTCAACCCTCGAAGAGAACTTTCCCATCTCCGCGCGGCCATATAATATCCTCTATATATATGTACGCCATGTTTAAAAAATGGTAAATCTGTTTCTTTGTTGTTGTTGTTTTTTTATTTCGATCATTATCACCAAACGAATGTTAATATTTTCCTTTTTTAGAGAAGACCCCAGTCCATCAAGTCATATTATACAACCATGAAGGATCCCTTTTTGAGGCAAATCAAAGGCGACTGTGATAGACAAAAACGAATAGTAAAGGAGCTAATAAATAAGCTTTTACTCCAGCTTTTAATTTTACTTTTCAGACCCTTTTCGTTATCGCACATAATGGCAAATGGTATCAGCAGAAAAAAGAAACCACAATATGTGGCTGAGCTGAAGTAGCAAAGCCAGCAAAAAAAATATGACAACCGCAGCTATTAATGGCAAAATTGGCGACCCCTTTGTGAACTTTAAAGATTTCCAGAACGCCCTAGGTATCGCCTATTACAGACTTGGAGATTTTCGGAAAGCTATAGAGTACCATGAACGACACCTCATAATTTCGAAAGAAGTGGGAGACAGGGCAGGAGAAGGAATAGCGTACTGTAATCTTGGCAACGCCTATGACAGTCTTGGAGATTTCCAGAAAGCCATAGAGTACCATGAACGAGACCTCAAAATTTCGAAAGAAGTGGGAGACAGGGCAGGAGAAGGAAAAGCGTACTGTAATCTTGGCAACGCCTATTACAGTCTTGGAGATTTCCAGAAAGCCATAGAGTACCATGAACGAGACCTCATAATTTCGAAAGAAGTGGGAGACAGGGCAGGAGAAGGAAAAGCGTACTGTAATCTTGGCAACGCCTATGACAGTCTTGGAGATTTCCAGAAAGCCATAGAGTACCATGAACGAGACCTCAAAATTTCGAAAGAAGTGGGAGACAGGGCAGGAGAAGGAAGCGCGTACGGTAATCTTGGAAACGCCTATCACAGTCTTGGAGATTTCCAGAAAGCCATACAGTACCATGAACGACACCTCAAAGTTTCGAAAGAAGTGGGAGACAGAGCAGGAGAAGGAAAAGCGTACGGTAATCTTGGCGTCGCCTATTGCAGTCTTGCAGATTTCCAGAAAGCCATAGAGTACAATGAACGACACCTCAAAATTTCGAAAGAAGTGGGAGACAGGGCAGGAGAAGGAAAAGCGTACTGTAATCTTGGCAACGCCTATTACAGACTTGGAGATTTCCAGAAAGCCATAGAGTACCATGAACGAGACCTCAAAATTTCGAAAGAAGTGGGAGACAGGGCAGGAGAAGGAAAAGCGTACGGTAATCTTGGCAACGCCTATGACAGTCTTGGAGATTTCCAGAAAGCCATAGAGTACTATGAACGAGACCTCAAAATTTTGAAAGAAGTGGGAGACAGGGCAGGAGAAGGAAAAGCGTACGGTAATCTTGGCAACGCCTATTACAGTCTTGGAGATTTCCAGAAAGCCGTTCAGTGTTATAAGAACAGTGTTATAGCCTTCGACTACATTAGGAGAAATCTCATATCTAAAGACGAATGGAAGATTACCCTTAAAAGTACGTATGATCATGTTAATTTGAGGCTGTGGGAGCTGCAGTTTAAGGACGGTGAAGTCATTGAGGCACTTTTAACTGCTGATCAAGGACGTGCAGGAGCTTTAAATGATCTTCTGGAGTCCAAGTATGGCCTCAAAGGGCTACGCCCAGAAATAGGAACACCTTCTGCAAGACCAAGTGACTTTGCTATTTACTTACCAGCAAATACAGTTTTCATGGGTATCAGTGAGGGAGGAATAGTTCTCTGGGTGAACGAGAAAGGAAATGAAATCAAAACTAGAAGAACTGAGATTGATAGGTCCGTCACAACCTATTTTCAGTCTCTATTGGAGGCTACACATAAAGAAATAGGTGCAAGAGCTGATGTTAATTGTGAAGATCGCTCATTAAGAAACCCAAGCGATAAAAAGCTAGCGGAAGAAAGATCCCCCAGGAAGCCAAGGTCTCACCCTTCATATTTTGAGTCAAAGTCATTACAAACATTGTACGATGTTGTTATAGACCCTATAAGAGACTTACTCGACGGCGATGAAATTGTGATTGTTCCACAAGGACCTCTGTGTTTGGCGCCTTATGCTGCTTTTATGGACATGAAATCAAATTACTTCTGCGAATCTTTCAGAATTCGTCTACTCCCCTCGCTTTCTAGTCTTCGATTAATCCAAGACTGTCCAGCAGATTGTCACAGCAAGACTGGCGCTCTTCTCGTCGGCGATCCGTGGGTACAGGAGGTAACGACGCTAGAGCAGTTAGCGTGGGCCGAAAAAGAAGTGCAGATGATTGGGAAAATTCTTCACACTGTACCTCTCGTTGGAAAGCAGGCAACAAAAGATGAAGTTTTGAGACGTATCTCCTCAGTTGCTTTGGTGCATATTGCTGCTCACGGTGAAATGGAAACAGGAGAAATTGCCTTGGCTCCAAACACAACGCGTTCATCCGTGGATCTAGCCGAGGACTATCTCTTAACTATGAAAGATGTTTTAGATGCGCAGATAAGGGCAAGACTTGTTGTACTTAGTTGTTGTCACAGTGCTCGGGGAGAAGTCAAATCTGAGGGTGTGGTCGGCATCGCACGGGCTTTTTTGGGTGCTGGTGCTCGTTCTGTTCTGGTGTCCCTGTGGGCGATTGACGACGAGGCTACGATGGAGTTCATGGAATTTTTCTACCGACAACTAGTCAATGGAAGAAGTGCCAGTGAGGCTCTAAATAAAGCCATGAAATCCCTGAGAGAATCTGACCGGTTTAGTGCAGTGAAGTACTGGGCACCGTTTGTTCTCATTGGTGATGACGTAACGCTCGAGTTTGAGGGCATCAAATAAATAGCAAGGTATTTTGGGATGTATTTAAACCTGCGATCATATTACGTGCTTAAACAAATATTTTATAGGGCAACAAACTCAACTGGCGCGGCTTAACATCAAGCTGCCAATCACAGGTCTTGTCAGCAGTTAAAATCGACTCTGACTTTAATATTTTTTAGGCAGTCAAACACGAGAACATTTCTGCACATTACAAAGTGTCGAGGGCCCTGTTTGAGTTCGTTCCATTGTAACATTTATAAAGTAGAACCTGCCTTAAGGGACCATCTAAAATGCCAATATTTGCTGGTCGCTAATGGACGGTGGTCGCGTAAGAGTGGTTTCAGGTATGGTGCTTTGGGTGGGAAAATGATTTTGGTATTTTTTATGGTTGGTCGGTCATGAGATTCAACAGAGGTCATTCTCACCGACCGAAAGATACATATAAGAAGCTACCGTAAATCCTCTATTAAGTCCCCCCGCGGGGGGGACTTATTTCTTTCAAGCATGTTTAAGGAGAGGGGGTGAATAGAGAGGGGGTTATTTAATTAAGCGAAGATTGTGGTAAATAAATAAATGAATAACGATTTGCAGGTGGCACATCCACATAGTGGTTCTTCGTCTACCTGATTCCTGGTCGAATTGGAATTTGGAAATGTTGGTTTTTGAGGAGAGGGAGAAACCGGAGTACCCGGAGAAAAACCTCTCGGAGCAAAGGAGAGAACCAAAAACAAACACAACCCACATATGGCATCGACGCCGGGAGTTAAACCCGCGCCACACTGGTGGAAGGCGAGGGCTCTCACCACTGCGCCATCCTTGCTATGATCATCGATTCTCTATTCCGAATAGAGACCGAAGCCAACGTAGAGAAACTGAAGCATATGAAGTTGGAGGTCGCGTAGCCGAAGATCAAAAACAAAATTAATTTGAACTTACAGGACGTGAATAAACCATACGGGATCAGTCCGCGTGAGGTGTTACAATCGTGATTAATTATTAAATCTACCATACGTCTATTATTTAAGAATAGGGCGAGGGGGGCTTAAAAGGAAAGAATTTTCTTCCCTGAAATTGGGGGGGAGGGGATTATTGGATAGGGGAACTTCATAGAGGATTTACGGTATGAAAGTATCAATAATCTACAATAAGGCTCTTTGAAGAATGAAGTTACCAGTTTAAATATTATCTTTGTTTTAAAGCTTTAGCATATTGTACCTCGCCGGCTGAAATCACGCTCCTTTCCTTTTACTAGCTTGCTAACGTTTCTTTTTGCTGTTTTTGTGTTGTATAGGTACGAAGCGAATGCTGTGAAGCGGTTCCTAGCTGAAGTTGAACTCAGTCTTTTTGTGTAACAAATACAAAGTGGAGCGTTCATCGTGTAGGAACTCCTTATCCCGCAGAGAAAATCAAGTCTATACTTTTCGTAGATTGTTTTAGAAGACTAGTCGTGTGCACACCTTGTGCGGTAGTAACTTGTTCAGTAGTCACCTGAGAAGGACATGAGGAATCAGTAGTCAATTCTTATTTTCATTATTACATCATATTTTACAGAGAGACAATATGATATAGTTTTTGATGCTTTTATTATAGTTACACAGTTGTAGTTTTTATTCTTTTGGCTGATTAGTTTACTTTTACTGTCTACAAAGGTCTCAATTCTAATTTTGTAGTTTTACATTTACTCGCTTTTAGTTATGCGTAGGACTGCTATTTCGTAGGTTTGTTCGCGAGCGTTTTGTTTCAATATCAAGTTTTCGTGTTTCTATTGTTGGCACCTTTTATCTGCAAGTTGGTCGTAACTTTGCCGTTTACTGTACCACTTTTTCCTGTCGCAGAATTCATTTGTTTAACTCCGTATTAATACGACTACTTAATTCAGTTTCTCCAGTTTTTTAGCTCGGCTAGTTAGCTTAGCTATTTACCTGTGGAGCTTAGCTCCCCTGAAGGTCTCGACCTCTGGTACGTTTTTACTGTTTGGCCAACTCAGTCACCCCTCCCCTTCACAACTTAGATCTTCGTGTCGGCAATCGATACACAGCGAGGAACTCGGAGACAAACGATTTGGTTTCTTAGGACAGTGTAAGAACCTGGGAGACCTTACTGGGCAATTGAAACAACCCCAGCCACAGGATAAGGTTATACTAAATTAGTCATACGCATTCAAAGCAACATCTGGTCTTAACTGTGCTATCTCACGGCGTCTTTAGCCCTGTTGCGACACCGCGTGAACGGATGGCTCTACGCAAGTTTGCAACAAAAAAAAGAAGCCACATGAATTGATCTCACGAAGTGTCCTTTGCACAAACGCTACAAATTCCAGTTAGCGTACTCTATTTTATTTGCTTATTTTATTGCTTTGTTAATTGGACCCCCGAGGCCCCTATATTCAGGCTTGTTCGGTTTATGCCGCGGTTCAGGCACAAAATCAAATACAAAATTTCAAAAACCAGAAAAACAAATATTTAAAAAAATTCAAAACTAAACGCAAAATACAAGGTTCCAGTTTTATTCGCTGCGCTTTTGTTTTTTCTCTTTAAGACAATTATCGTTTTAACTTCATTTTTTTTCTCTCCACTCAGCTGAGGACAGCTGAAACTTAAGATGGAGGAATGTGAAAAGAGAATTTATTGTTATTCAGTTATTTTGTTTTTGGTGATAAAAATATGAAAAGCTAATGTAGAAATTCTTTATTCTTTAGTCCTAGCTTCTCTAAACGGTAAACAACCTGTTGATATTTACTGAGCGTAAACTTATTTTTCGAGTCATGATTTTAGTAGCCGCCAAGCTATAATCAACCTGTGACGAACGGTCATCTACTTGTGTAAACTTTTGGAAGTAATTAATGTTTCACTACAAGCTTCCATTTCCACCAATAGTAGTTCAGACATGATTTTTGTATTCGGTTATTTTGACTCGTTGAGTTATGATGTAATCTGTATCGCATCATTAATAGCTTAGACTTAAATACGAGTGCTGTGTATGATTTTCTACGGTTACATCCTGGTTACGTCTTGGATTAAACCTCTACATTGGAGCCAAGTTCTGTGTACAATTGTTGTCTCAAGGGTATTCAACAGGCGAAAGGGATTTCGCGCCTTTTCGCAGCCTGCGAGTGTCCCCAGGAAAAGGCCTTTCCCAGAGAGCATTGTAGAGTTTTCCCCGTCGTCCGTTTATCCTTTTGTGAAGGAAAAAACCTGTTTCCACACTGGTGTTAAAGTGAAAAAGCTGTTTTCAAATTTCTTTTCCCGACGAAAAATTCTAATGATCCAGATTTTTATCTGATCTTAGACTTTAGTAAAGAAACGCACTCTGAGTTTCCAGCTCGGTTAGTTGACTTTTTTTTTTGGCTGTCAGCTGCCCAAAATGTCTTGATCTCTGGCAATTTTTTACTGTGTGGCCCTCTCAGTCACCCTCCCTTCACAACTTAGTTCTTACTGTGTGGCCCTCTCAGTCACCCCTCCCTTCACAACCTAGTTCGTCGTGTCGGCAACCGATATACAGTTTTGGTTGTCTACGGCAATCGGGGGCGTTGCCACCAATTCGTTCAAGTTGTAGAAGTCTTGAAAGGGCGGGGGTCGGGGGAGGGGGTGAGGACATAAAAAAATCTGGTTAGTACATCATTTTCAAGGGAATTACCTTAATAAATTCTTTAGAAATGCTTATTCCCAAGAGACTCGAATTGTTTGAGGTTGAATTCTAAAATATGGAAATTGTCAATTCGTGTGGAATGGTGAAACGGTCGTTTTGCCAGAAAGAGATGAGTAACTCAGAGGAATACTATTCTTAACGTTAAGGCAGAGTAGTTTTGGAAACTCTTTCGGACCTCCCACCGCGACAGAGTTTTGTGTCAGTTGTCCAACGAGTCACATTGCAAACAAGGACGTTCACAGGTAAACGTTGGAGATGTAATGTCAAATTCGTTTAAATTAAAAGTGACGCAGTCGGTCATGCGAATATCTAGTTTGCACTATGACAACCTGACAGCCTCAGAAGATTTAGTGAAGTCCAAGAAAATGTGGTAAGTACACTAAAGCGAAAAATTCTGACTTGTGTAGTTTTAGTAGGATGGTTAAACATGTTGGGCAGGGGAATATGAGCAGGGAATGAAAAAATATATTCCATTGTTCTGTTATTGTTATCAGTTAGTAATTGTTTCAACCCCACGCCCCGCCTCTATTACAATCAAAGCCGCCACCAACTTTTCAGACAGTGAATAATGCTGTGTAGGATTGTGTAACATATTCCCCTAAAAAGAACAGAGAAAACCGAGCAAAGGGAAAATAATTGTTGTAAATACACTGTCTTTAAAATATGAATAAATAAGAAAACCAGAACGTGTTCCAGAATTTTTCACACCCATAAAATACATCTCTGAGCATGCTGAGCACTTTTAAGCCATTTAACAGACCGAAACAGGAGCCCATAACCTGGAGCGAGCAACTCCCATACTAGGCCTATGTTGCGGCGTTTTTACGGACCAGTTTATTTTTAGACACATTTTAGGGCACTTTTTCCAGCGAACACAGAATCTCCAGCATGTCTCTGAGGGCATTCGAAGTATAAGATATCAAAAAGGAAACTAAACGTTATTAAAAGGCAAAAAATATCATTTTTAGGTCCGTAGGTTTTGCCGACTGGTTTGTGGAATTTAAAAGATATTTAAAATTCGCGCCAAAACCGTTCTAAAAATAAACTGGTCCATGAAAACGCCGTCAGACACGAGCTCATTGAAGTTGCTCGGTCCGGGCTATGGGCTCGTGACCGAAACTGACAGCTAGATGTCCCGTTACCCTTTCATATACTTCAACTGGTGAAATCCCTTTTCTTTCATACTGACCTGAAGCCTGAAAAAGATACCCCTTTCGGGCGGAGTCTTCCTGTGTAGGCCATTATAGAAACTTAAAGTACCCCTGTGTGGCATTTTATTCTCCGAAAAGAAACGTCGACGTTTATACCACCAAAATGATATTCAATTATTGAAGAAATACCGACTCTAAATTTAACTTCATTTTCTATCA